TAATACTTTGCAATAACTAATGGAAAGTTGATTTGTTGTTTAATTTCGTGTTTATGTGATTTTGAAAGTAATAATTATTATAAATTAATTATTTCCTAGCGAATTTGTGATCGTGTCTTGAACCTGATGAAAGTAAATTGGACGGTCGATAACTCCTCACAAGAAAAACAAGATTACAGAGAAAGCATACCCTTTCTTTTAATTTTACGTGCCCCAAAATTCCACCTTGACATTTGAATACAAATAATTGAGGTTATCTATCTGTCAGTTTAACGCTAATTGTTTAAAAACGTTACCTATATAAAAATATTCGATTATTTTTAAATATCATATAAGCCACTAACAACTGACATTTAGATTTTCTTTCTTATCTTAGAGGGATTGTACAGTTTCAATAGTTGTCCTTGACTGGGTATAGGTATTATTTTTTAATTTATAATTTGTATTTAGGAAAGCAACCAGTCAAGGTTGGGCTGTAATTGGATACAGCTGATTTTATAATCCAATATAGGTATAAATATTTATTAAGTACAAACAATAATACTTCCCATCTTATAGGTTCATTATGTTTTAATTAAATTGAAATGTTCTACTCATACTTACCTACCTATAATATGTACCTATATAAATGCAATTTAGTAATTTAGTATTGATTCAAGTTCCTATTCATAAATTGTTGATTCATGATAATTTTCTTCCTGGAAAGGCAGTTCAAATAACTAGGTATTGATTTAGGGCCTATTGAAAATAAACAGGTTTTGGGTACATTTAAATAAGAAAAAAGAATCGAGACGTTTTAATTTTATTGATAGAATTAAATTTGTTTACATTAATACCTAAATAATTTTATAAAATGTGAAGTAACGTTTTGAATCAGACCAGCTGGGAAAGTTAATTGACAGGCAAGGAAACCTTGATACACGTGTCTATATAGATTGCCAGTTGTTACTATATAATATACCTACATTAACATTAGATAAAACTACTTTAAAATCGCATAATACCGTGATTTGAAATATATAATACAATAACAAATAATTAAGTCAGTAATAACATAGAAATAAATCAAAATTATACGTAATCTTTTGTGTAAAAATACTTTGTCGTTCCAATAAAGAGTAACAGTACCGCTGAAAAATATAACAGTATAAAGCATATGTCCTAATTAGGACAGAGACGTGTTAAGCTAATGAATGTAAACTAAATTACAATGGCAGGAAATCAAAACGGAGCAACTTTCAAAGGGGTATTACCCCTGTAAATTTATTTATATACTTCGATTAGACAAAATGGCACCCATGCTATATACCACATCCAGTAAAATAAATCAAATCTGCGATATTTACCTTTGGATTGCGCCCCGATTTCTTCACGAATACCCTATATGCTATATAACTGCACTATCGTTAAAGTTTTTTAATCTTTTAGTACACATTCTGATGAAATTCAAGTTTTTGCTGGACAATGAACTGCTAGTGCCCACTTTGTTTTTATATGTTGACAGTTCGCAGGTTCTCTTGAAACTAGTCAGCTGTTTGTCATGTTTGCCTTGACTCGATGGTGGGGGCCCCTGAAAAGCGCTTCCCGGGAAATTTGAAACCTTTACATACGAGGGGTCATCTAAAAAGACTTAGTTATAGTTTTTGTTTGTTTGGAGTATTTTTTACTCCTTTGTGGCATTGGTAATTATTTCATCAAAATCCTGTTTTGTTTTTAAAATGTCTTTTTATTTGTAATTGTCTGTTATCTTTGGCATTGTTTATTATAATTCTTACAATTAAATGTCAAAGTATTTCAAATTAAGGCCTTGGACAGGAGTACCAATTTTAAATATTAAAATAACCAAAGTTTATTGACATACATACCTTGTACATTTAGATGGCTAACCTCACTTTCTACCAATTTTAATTATTATACAGGATGTCTCAAAAGTCAAGGACAGCAGAAAAGCAGAATGATTAGAGGTGGGACAACAAAAACTTTTGTGGAAATTCCATGGATATGACCGTATTATATTGTAAAATTACCTTAATTTTATTTTTTCACCATCACTGTTAGTGTTTTGGTTTTTTAGGTTCAGGAGAAATGTTCATTTTTTTGTGTGGGACAAATACACCTGCCTTTTTTTTAATTTTTTTTAACTTGCGACTTAATAAATAAGTTAATACAAGGTTGATGGTGATATATCACTGATATACTTTACTTTACCTTTTTTAAATAAGTTAAAAAAATTATTTTATTATTATTAATACTACGCTCAGGGTTTCTCTAGAATGGCGTATGGGATAGCACTTTTCACCATCACTGTTAGTGTTTTGGTTTTTTAGGTTCAGGAGAAATGTTCATTTTTTTGTGTGGGACAAATACACCTGCCTTTTTTTTAATTTTTTTTAACTTGCGACTTAATAAATAAGTTAATACAAGGTTGATGGTGATATATCACTGATATACTTTACTTTACCTTTTTTAAATAAGTTAAAAAAATTATTTTATTATTATTACTACTACGCTCAGGGTTTCTCTAGAATGGCGTATGGGATAGCACTATGGGGTAATAGCCCTAGGAGTCACGAAGTATTTAAAGCACAAAAACGTCTAATGCGATGCCTTCTCTCTGTCCCTCGAACACATTCTTGCAGAACAATTTTCAAAAAACTTAACATATTTCCACTCCCTTGTATGTACATCTACGAAGTACTATTGCTAACATTTAATAATAAACATAACCTAATAAAAAATAATGAAACGCATAATCACTACACCCGAAATGTTAACCTTATACTACCTTTACCTAGACTAGAACTACGTAGGTCGTCACCAAGCTATATGGGTATTAAACTCTTCAACATGTTACCAAATTATATAAAAAACATTCCCCAACATAAAGAATTTAAAAATCAAATAAAAAAAATACTGCACGAGCACATATTTTATGACATAGATGAATATATTAATAAGTTTTCATGATTGTCTTTTTTTCCGTGTAATTTTAAAGTGTAAATATCTTATCCCATATATGTTACTTGTTATTTATTATATAATGTTTTTATCATTTTAATTCTAAATATTTTCTTTTATTTATACACAAACATTTTTGTAAACACACCTAAATATTATTTTACTTGACCTGTCCTATACTCATGTAAGTCGTTGGATTAATAAAATTATTATTATTATTATTATTATTATTAATTAATTTTAACATTGTTATTTAATTAGAGATATTTAAATGAATATGTAATAATCACAATCCACACAACAAACCCTGTTTTATATTGTTTCGCGCATACTACAAATCACTGCAACACTGCGCAGAATCTAACGGCGACCATTTTTATTTTTATACAGATAAAAATCGTTTTAAAACGTTGTGTTTCTTACAGAGGCACTTGTAAGCCTCAAATGAGGCCTTTAAGTGCTAAGAACAACCATTTTAAACCTTATTCTATCAGGGCTGTTATCAAACTATCAAATTTAAATTTGTGGGTTATGGTAAATTAACCTTAAAATTAAAATTTGACAGTTTAATGACAGCCCTGCTAGAATAAGGTTTATTTTTACCCAAAGAGGAGTAAAACGGTTGTTCTTAGCACTTACAAGCTTACAAGTGCCACTGTAAGAAACACAACGTTTAAAACGATTATAATCTGTATTAGGGCCACCAATTTTCCCTAAAAAAAGATTGTCTCAAGTTAAAACTAACCTAAAAACTAAAGCACTGTCAGTGACAACCATATCATTAAGGTCATTTTACACTACGATTTATATAGAATTTCTAATATTAAGCTGCACATTATAGCCTACTTTATTTTATTAAAAACGACTATTTGAATTATTTTTTTCACTAAATCCATCAAAGTTCGAATTCAAAGAAATTGCTACTGTTAGCAATAATATGACAACCCACTGTAAGATTTAGATAAACCCACAATCCACACAACATGTGTGGATTGTGGATAAACCATAGAAAAATAACCAAAGAGTCTTGGCAAAGACATATAAAAAATAGAGAAATAACCATAGACATTTAAAATATAGAAAAATAACCATAGACATAAAAAATAGAGAAATAACCATAGACATATAAAACATAGAAAAATAACCATAAACATATAAAAAATAGAGAAATAACCATAGACATATATAACATAGAAAAATAACCATAGACATATAAAACATAGAAAAATAACCATAGACATATAAAAAATAGAGAAATAACCATAGACATATCAAAAATAGGGAAATAACCATAGACTTATAAAAAATAGAGAAAACCATAGACATAAAAACATAGAAAATTAACCATAGACATATAAAACATAGAAAAATAACCATAGACATATAAAAAATAGAGAAATAACCATAGACATAAAAACATAGAAAATTAACCATAGACATTTAAAAAATAGAGTAATAACCATAGACATATAAAACATGGAAAAATAACCATAGACATAAAAATAGAGAAATAACCCATAGACATATAAAACATGGGAAAATTAACCATAGACATATAAAACATGGAAAAATAACCATAGACATAAAAATAGAGAATTAACCATGGACATATAAAATAAAAAAATTAACATTGGCAACAAAAATCTTTTGTAAAAAAAATATTTATTTATTTATCATCAGTTAATAAAAAAATAATACAGTTTATAAAAGTAAATATGTTTAATCTTGAGCTACGTCATCGTCTTGCCTTCAGCCGTCGTCATCACTGAAAAAACTCCTTTTAACAGTCGTATTCATGTATGGTCTTAGTGCCCATTCAGTATTAGCTGAGTCGGCTGTATCCAAAGTCCCCAATTTAATTTCGTACAATCGCGACTGGAATCGGAATCTATTGTTTGACTAAATTATTTAGTCTAAATACCCAAACAATACAATAAGAGGTTTTAAAATAGCGTATCATTACTTACCACCACCTTCAGTTTTTATATATTGGTAAACAATTTGACATACCCCCGTATATCATCTGGTGATATTCTAGGGACATTTTGATTTTACTTGTCATTTCGTTTGCCAAAAAAGAAAGAAAACGTGAGCGTTCTAATATATATATATAGCGATATTCTAATAACTTTTAATAAAGAACGGTAAGTTTTTACTTAATTTGCTTTTAAATCTTCATCTTTATACAATAAATAAATAAATAGGCACATAAGTAAATTTTAAAGCACAGACCACCATAAATGGCCAGTTTGCAATTATTGTATTGTAATCCATAGGTTTTTCCATGTGTAGTTCTATATTTACTTCTTTTTAGATGTCTGGACGCGAAGGAGGAAAAAAGAAACCACTAAAAGCCCCTAAGAAAGACACCAAAGATCTTGATGAAGACGATATGGCCCACAAGCAAAAAATGAAGGAACAACAAAAAGCTTTGCAAGATGCCAAAGCCAAGGCGTCTCAAAAAGGTCCTCTTGTGGGTGGAGGTATAAAAAAATCAGGGAAAAAATGATAACACCTTTAAAATTTGTAAATGCTCTACAAATAACCCTGTAACCACTGTTTTGTAATTATAACTTTTTAATAATAGATGGTGTTTTATTAGGTTTTAATTAAAAACATAACTATAGTTATTTCCCTTATTTCTTGCCAAAAAAACAGAAATAATTTCAATACAAATTTTACAGCTTGGCTGCTAAATACAAAGTGGGAAGTTAAGTGAAATTTTCATGCCAAATATCCAAAAAAACATATATATAAAGAAGGTAGGTATAAAAAAACTGACCAAAAATGATTTTTATCAAAAAAATTTCAGTCCAAAATTTTTAGAAAAACCAAAATGAGAAATTAACTACAGTTCATTTTTTATCTGGACTTTGACACTGTCAAATTGACAATAATATTTATTATTGACTATTAACCAATATAAATATGACAAAAAAATTTCAAAATAACTTTGTTTCAAATGTTTATATTTTTTCACTTTAAAACTGTATTCACTAGTACATCACACATGCATAAACCACATTTGCATGGGCCAATCACAAATCTGTAATTTAAAAAAATATATAGTTTTTTGACTCATTTTTCTTGACTATTTCCCTCGTCTTAATTTCCACCAATCACAAACGCGCAATTTTGAATTACAAATAGTTTCTAGGTGAAAAAACTGTGTGACTGCACCTGTCAGCAGTTTATGTTCTGTGAGTTTATTCGAGTTTACCCGCGGCCACGGTCTTATATGATATATATGCCCGCGGCAAAACTTGACAGCAGTTGTCACCAAAAATTGAAATTTATATTTTAATTGTTAACTGTTACTCATAAAATAGTCTTGTCAAATACCATTCGGGCATCTAATTTTTCCTGTGAAAAAAATCGAAAAAACACAATGCTAAGTAATATTTTTAAACAAAATGCATTCGTGCAGGTGCAAAAATCCTCCTCTTCGACTCGGATTTTTGTTGCCACCAGCACTCATGCTTTTTGTTAAAATATTGGCAACGTGTTTTTTCGATTCTTTTCGGAAAAATTAAATGCCCTTATGATATTACTTACGATAATTTACTTGTCAATTATAAATAAAAAGATAATTATGCCAAAAATAATAGCAACAAATTCGAATGTAAAGGGCCCTTTTGAGGGCAAAACTTCATTTTGATGAAATTATGCCAAATGCCACAATGGAAGAAAAAGTACATCGCCTTATGGACATTTTTGGAGTAAAAAGTAACGAATTTGGTTTTATAAATATTGTTTTCACATTATTCACCATTGGAAAACATTTACGTTCACAAAAAAATTTTAATTCCTTTTATATAAATTCTTTTCAAAGCGAAGATTATTATCCGCCAGGAATACTTTCTATTCTGGTCCATAAAGCAACCTATATTTAACTACTTTTTATATGGTTTTACTCATCCAAGCACCACCAAAGCCAAATTAATTGCATTTTTAACTACGAATTTCGACAACTCAACTTGACAACTGCACAATGTAACCTACAATAATTTATACATAACCACAATTAGGTTTATAACTAGCTTAGTTTGTTTTAATCAATGCGACCAACTTGACAACTATATGTACCAACCAAAACCCTAAATTTGCAACGTTGACGCAGTCCAGATAAAAAAATGAACTCACAGAACACAAGTGGCGTATCACAAAAAATAACTTTCCTTAAAACAATCCTGAGCTCATGTTATTTTTCATTCTGTTGGACAAAAGTCATTGGCACTTTTTTTTCAATAATAAACATTTATTTTTAATATTATTTATTAAAAAAAAATATGTTCTAGACAATTAAAATAAAACTTTTAACTCCTAAAATATTAAAAACAAAATGTATTCTCAAAACAGACAAAAGACAAAATAAAATCCTGGCATTGTTGTAATATTTGTACTTAGGTCATACTCTCCTCAGGTTTCACTTCAATTGGTTTTCTGCATACAAAGAAAACACTATCATACTCATACTGGAGCATGGATTGGGGATTTTGACAATATTTCGTCTTCAAACCAGTCTTGCATTTCTCCATAACAAACCCTATTTTCTTGATGATTTCACATAACCTCTCAAAGCTGGGTTCGACGCTTTTCTCATTGTGTATCCCGGAATAATGATACATTAACGGGCCCAAATTAACCCACAACCCTCCTGGTTTGAGTATCATGTAGATTCTCTCCACAAATTGCACCACATTGGGGGCGCAGTCAATAAAAAAACAAGTGGCAACACAGTGCCATTCGTCACTGTCCATGTACACTTCCAAAAAGTCACCTGCAGTCATGGAAAACTTGCTGTCAGGGGTTGGACTTGGTTTTATATCGGGAAACCTGCAATACATTTATTTAAAATCTCAATCAATGGGGTAGTTGAATTTTTTCTGACCTATACCTTTTATGGTTTTATTCAAGGCGTTTTGTAATTTTAAACATTTCTGTGAAATCGGAATTTCAATTGAGTTTACCGTTTTCGAGATATTTACCAAAAAAAATCTCCTAATTACGTCACTAGGCTATTGACAACGTTGCCAGCTTTTTCTATGGTTGCCAGTGTGTTTAGTTTAAGATTCTTACGATAGATGGCGCCACATTATAATATTTTAGTTTTAAAACCACTTGATCTATAATTTTAATCGAGAAGAAGAAGAATTGATTTTTTGACGTTTTTTTTTTTGGGTTATGTTTTTTTTAAATTTAGATTATTGAAAATCAATGTTATTTGTAATTGATATTAGATAAGTGATTTATTAATAACGGACTCCAAAGCAGAGGAATCTTGTGGAATTGTTGGTTACATTGAACATTGGAGCTTTAAACAAATAAAGAAAGTACCTATAATTATAATCATATTTTGTCGTAAATGCATTTCATTACTATGATGCCTAGTTCTTTATATTCTTTTAGATATATCTTAAAATGTACTCTAGAGCGTAGTATCTTCAAACAGTCCAAAAGTTTGTCATACATTTTTTTAATCTTACAAAAGGTTTTGATGCTCATCATCAGGGATGCAAGTTTTATAAAAACTATACACAAATATTATAAATACCATTGTTAACTTACATTTACTGTTATTTTTTGTAAATTTATTTCATTCATTTTCAGCTTTATTTTGCCACTTTTTTCTATGAAATTTATTAAACTCTGCTTTAGACAGTTATTAGGTACCTATTTATTACATTTTATTAGGTTTCACACCTTGTTTCAATGTGTAAACCTATCAATAAAACTTTTAATTTTCTTTTCTTTCACTCAACTGACAGTGACAGTATTTGAACATAACCTCTTCGGGTATTTTCTGACATAACCGAATGAAATCATTAACAAGACAACTTGACAACAGGGTAATTTTCAACCAATAGAAATCTTAGAATGTTGGTCACATGGCGAGGTTTGTGACGTCATAAAAATTTATATTTTTTGTAAATATCTCGAAAACGGTAAACTCAATTGAAATTCTGATTTCACAGAAATGTTTAAAATTACAAAACGCCTTGAATAAAACCATAAAAAGTATAGGTTAGAAAAAATTTAACTCCCCATTTTTATGAACCTGAAAAGTCCTACTTAACACTAGTCATTTGTCCGTCAGGCTTCAAATAATTGCAGTATTGGTGAATCCATGGATATATCTCGTATTGGTCGACGTCTGTGCACAAATTGAGGACATAGTAGGACACAACAAGCATGAACAAGTTGAACTCATTGCCCTGACAAGAGAAACCTCTTGAGGCAATCTCAAATGCAAGTCTACCAAGACCAGCTCCTGGCACAAGAATGTTAAAATGACCGCGCGCATTTATGTCTTCTGGATAATTTTCCAGGATTTCTTCTATGATTGGGTCATAGCACTGTTTTCTCTCATTTGCTCCCAAGTCACTCCAGTCTCTCATGAGTTGTTTAAAAACAACTTGGACCTGAGTAATTAAGAATTAAGTATACAGTTTTGGTAATTTTGAAATTTTGTCTTTACACAGAAAAAAATGACATTCATATTTGTAATGGGTGGCGCTGTAATGAAAAAAAAATAAATTTTGTTCGATTTTTCTTCTGTATACGATTCTCCAATATTTTTTTTTTTTAAATAGAACTTTTTTTGGTAATAATTATCTCATTAAATTAAATCTTATTTTTTTACCCACGATTTTTTAACTAATAATTAAGTTTCCTTTGGTTTAAGTTTTATACATTATTTCATTCGGTGATAATTATCAATTGCGCACCATGGTTACTTTTTACCTGCCAGCATTAAATCCTTTAATTTAAAGGATTATTGTACAATTTTTAATAAAAATACCTCATTTAAGGTTAAAAAAACATTATTTTGTCAATTAATTAATTTAATCCTAATTGAGGTATAAAAAATGGTATTTAGTTATAAATAATAATTATTATTGAGGTATAAAGAACTATTTATAGTTTAGCATTATTTAATCAATTTAGTTTGAAGATTAATTTGCAAACAAAAATTAGGCAGTTATTCATAATGGATTTTTTAACAGTGGAAGAAAAAATAGAAATGATTTTGATTTATGGAGAAGCAGGCAGGAATCTTGATGATGCTGTTAATATCTACGCTCAGCGTTTTCCGGAAAAAATTCGATCGCGTACTTCATTTCACCGTACAGTCAAGCAGTTTACTACAAACGGGAGTGTTCAACCGAAAAAAAGTAGTTCGTCGAGCAACAGTCACAGGTGGAAATAATGAAATTAATGTATTAGCAGCAACGGCCGCTAATCCTCATGCAAGCACACGAGAATTATATAGAGATTTGGGAATATCCCAGAGCAGTGTTAGCAGAATATTAAAACGAATTAATAAATGCATTGAAGTTGAAGGCCACCATTTTGAGCACCTACTTTAATTAAAATTTAAAAAATAAAACCAAGTATTTTATTCAAAAATTATTGGAGAATTGTATACAGAAAAAAAAAATCTACCTATTTTTATTCGAATGATTCGAATCTGCAATAAAAAATAGGGTGTTCCATTGGAAATTTTAAAGTCAGTTTTAGTGCTGATTGATTCATTTAATTTTTATTTTAAATATTTTTTCATAAAATGTATACTAACTGAGATATTTCAAGTTAAATGACACCCTGTATATAAATTCTTACAGCGCCACAAACGAAAAGTTCGCCAACTAAACAATATCTCATTGTTTGTATTGTATTTTTAATTTTTTTAATTTATTATCTGATTTTTAATTTTAAAATAACCAAAATAACAAACAATCTTATTAATAGGGCATATGTACCTACAAGTAGTTTACCATGTGGTAATATTACATTAGAGAAGCTAGAAATTTCCATAATTTGTTCCTCATATTTAAATTTAATTAAGTAAAAAGCATAGGTACTATTTGAGTTATAACACAATAATATTTAGGCTGACAATATTTTTACATTTTTGCACCCAGTCAAAATAAAAAACTATCTACAATAGCATGTAAAAATGCACAATGCAGGATTTAAAAATTGGAATTTTTGCTTCTTTAATGACAAATAGAAAAGTATAATGTATCCTACCCTGTCATCCGATAAACTGCCAATTTTCTCAGGCTGCTCCCCTTCATCGTTCGAGTAAAAGTTATCAAAAATCTTGTGAGCATGTTGTAATACCAATGGAATTAACTCGGCATTCTTTTCAACACATTTTTTATATGTATTCAAATCTTCTTTGTACTTTTCTAAAAGTTCTTTATGATTGTGAGGTAAAGATTCAATGCACTTCTCCTTGTAATTTATGTAGTTCAAAGATCTTTCTCTGCAACAAATAACATTTCTATGATTCAAACCAAGTCTTAACAGAAATGACTAACTAAATCTATCGCTAGAAACACTACAATCTTAAATTATTTTAATAACAAAATGTATTGGCACAATTAATCAATATCGTTATTGTGTTTAATAATCCTAAAAAAACAATGCCTTTGTCTCACCTGTAATTTTTAAACGTTGAAAGAACAGAAAGAAAATAGTCTCGTTCTTCTTTGGCTCCATTCATAGCGTTATTCATTATTAAATATTGGATATTGTTCAAAACTACACTAAATTATACTATATTTGTATCAGAAATCAATCAAAATTTGATTTAATTATCAAATTTCAACTTCTGACCAAACAATCCTAACCTAGATATCACACAGCAAAATACAGGTTTTGTTGTTACCGGCCAAACCGGAAACTAAAATATGGCGCCACAAAATGTAAAAAGAAATCTGTATTTTGTGGTTTTGACATTTGACGTAAGGTGTCAAAAAAGATCTAGAATGAAATTACCTTCCACACTTGCCTGCAAAAGTAAATTCACCGGCAAGGTCAATCAGTTAATATGTTTGTAGAATCGTGTGTGAGTGAGTCGTTTCAGTGAGTGATAATAAATAACAATAAATAATAAATATGAGGCTGACAGCGAGAAAACTGCAAAGCATTTCCAAAATGCTGGACTTTTATTCCCAATTTAACCCATCACCGCTGTCCATCAAAAAGTTTATCGATTTTGGTGAGTGCAATATGATTTTTTAATTTTGTTTATTTTAAGGATTTAACGTTATTCTTATTACACCGCCATATATTTTTTTAATGTGCTTTTGCAACAATACTTGAAAATAGGTCAAGCAAATATATGGGTGTTCTTATATGTGATTAGATTTATAGAATAACAAAATTAATTATCTACTTATTGTTAATTATAAAATACTTTAATTTGGATGTTATAACATTATAAATTACTATCATTACGACTTTAAAACATTCGAATTAAAAAATTGGCAGTGGTTTTGCATTTTAAATTCCTGCTTTGTTTAATACATGTGATTTAAATTTTAAAATGCACAAAATAATTATATTTTAATTGGGTGTTTTACTATTAATTAATTAAAACAATGTAGGAATTATAATTTATAAATTTTAAAAATATTATTTTACAAAAGAATACTATGTAGGTAGGTACCTAGGTATCATTGTAATTGAGGAGCAAATAAAAATGCATAAAACAAAGACAACAAAAAGTCTAATTAATGTTTACAGTGTAACAATAATTATATGCATCCATTTTATTTGTTTACAATTAAATTTCTTATAATAATTCCAGATCTTTCTTATTTTAAAATATCAACAAAAATATGGATGTGGTTACACATTCAAACACACATGTTGTCATATGTTTATTTGCGTTAGGGGAATGATAAATGTATTCATTATTTTTTTGTTACTACAACAAATAAACATTTTCAGATAAAGGATCATTTAATAAGTATTTTAAATTGGGATTAATCTCATTATTTTAATATTAAAATGTAATGTAAAGTATAGGTCATGTAATTCGTTTAAAAATAGTTAATTGAAATGTCCTCAGAAACACGTCAATGGCATCGCCAGGTCTGTATGTAAAGTTTGTTGGCTGGGACTATTTTTTAACTGTTTTTAAATGATACAAGAGGTGCCTAAAGGATTTGTTGATATATTAAATACATACCTTCCTCTGTATGATACAATTTTGTTGCCTAGGATGATCATAATAATAATAATAATAATTATATAGCAATTTTCAGTGTACTGATACCTACATCACGTTAATTGGACTTTAAAAAACCATTAAAGTGCCAAATGTTTTCTATATAAAACTTTCTTTGTTTTAATTTATATTTTACAAAATGGTACTTACAAAGTAATAAAGGCCACCCTATGGAGTAAAATTAAAAAATATAACTTAAATTGTCAAAACTAATAATATTTTGCATTAAAACTGAAACGCACATTATTTTATTTATAAAAATGGGCACGATAGGTACATCTTAAAAATTATATGCCCTCTAAATATTTTACGGTTTTAAGAAACAATATTGCTTGGATAAAAATTCAACAAAACTTAAAACCTACAAAATTTTAGAAAATCTTTTAAAAATCATTTAGTTTTTTAATCATTTTTTAATAACTAAAACTTTCCTTATTATATTTTAGAAAAATATTTAATATTATAACATAACAATTTCTGATTATCGTCCTTATCTAATAAATATATACACACCACATTTAATCCACCATACTTCACAAAAATGTACATATTAGATATTGTAAAAAAACGAATTTGTATTTACTTTAGTCTTTTCAAATTTCAAAAATAGTTTTTTCCAAGTTATTGTTATTTATTTACTTTTGCTATAAAAATAAACTGTCTATTGTCTACGAACATAATATGTTGATAATAAGTAGTAATTATTTTTTAATGAATTACAAAAAATTCTCGGTAAAACCTTGAATCAGGGTCACATGTTAATGTTAAAATATAAAAATATTTGTTTACTATCAATCTACTTGTCAAAGTTTTAAGTATATTGACCAAAGACGACCTGAATTTTAAAATATATATCAAATGTGCGATTATTAACCGCATTAGATTAAAAGCAATGGAGTAAATAATAATTATTTTTTATGATAACATTTTTTATAATAACTTATTTTTTATCTAATAAGTAGTTTATGTGTAATTTTTCCTGTTTAAATTTTTAATACATGATTTTAACAACCTATTAAAATGTTGGCTCAATATCAATCTACCTTAAATTTGTTGAGTAATAAATCAAAAACTAAAAATAGACATATTAATATAACATTAAAAAATAAATATTTTTATGTACAAAAGTGTCTCTAAGGGTCATGACTTTCAAATAATTCAAGGTTACAAAATTGTTTTGTTGCATCTAATTGGTCCTAAAAAATTATACACTTTCTGAAACTAAAATTGCTCGTATAAGTAAATAATCTTTGTCGACAAATATATTTCTTCGTGATTACAATAAGGGGGACAAGTGGGCACGTCTCGTCTTGACCTTTGCTATGCTTTGATATTTTTCAACTTGCGAGTGTAGAAATCCTTTGGCAAACTGACGAGCTGGACTTTGTCTTCTGACGTTTCAACTTATTATTAAATGCACGATGGAATTCCTTCATTTCTGGAGTAAACAACAATTTTTTTTATCTTTAAAAAACGGAACGCGATATAAAAACAATCTCGAAAACAATATTAGAACCGGTTTAATCTCACCTCAAACAATAAGTTGTAAAAATGCCAAAATAATAAGATGTGCAAAATAATTAGCTTTGTTGTTATCTATTTGAAATGGACAAAGATAAATTTGGCTACCATGTAGAAATTTATTTTATAACAACTTTTTTTTAATTTGGACTGCGGCAACGTTGCAAATTTAGGGTTTTGGTTGGTAAATACAGGTGTCAAGTTGGCCGCATTGATTAAAACAAACTAAGCTAGTTATAAATCAAATTGTGGTTATGTATAAATTATTGTAGGTTACATTGTGCAGTTGTCAAGTTGAGTTGTCGAAATTCGTAGTTAAAAATGCAATTAATTTGGCTTTGGTGGTGCTTTGATGAGTAAAATCATATAAAAAGTAGTTAAATATAGGTTGCTTTACGGCCCAGAAGAGAAAGTATTCCTAGCGGATAATAATCTTCGCTTTGTAAAGAATTTATATAAAATAAATTAAAGTTTTTTGTGTTGTAAACGTAAATATGTCCAATGGTGAATAATGTGTGATGTATTATTTATAAAACCTAATTTGTTACTTTTTTACTCCAAAAATGTCCATAAGGCGATGTACTTTTTCTTCCATTGTGGCATTTGGCATAATTTCATCAAAAGGAAGTTTTGCCCTCAAAAGGGCTTTTACATTCGAATTCGTTGCTATTATTTTTGGCATAATTATCTTTTTATTTATAATTGACAAGTTAATTATCAATAATAAATATTATTGTCAATTTAACAGTGTCAAAGTACTCGTCAAAGTATTTAATTAAATTCTTTAGCAGAAGTACCATTTTTAAATACTAAAAATACTAAGTCAAACTGGCATAAGCCACCAACCTAACAAAAAAACACGAGTCCAGATAAAAAAAATTAAATGTATATTTGATCTTTTTGCAATGCGTCTATGTGTCTACGTCCAACTATAAATCCACCTTAAATGTATTCTTACATTTAGAAAACATATTTTTCCGGGTAGTTTAAAGATTCCAATAAGAGCTTTGGTGTTACTTGTATAGCACGCCATTTTAACATTTATTAAATAATTTTTTAATTTAAAATTTTATTGGTTTAAAATTGTAAACTCAAAACCTATGATAATCAAAAAATATTTTAAATATAAAATGCAACTGTAAAAGTTTTAGTTTAAAAATATTGATGTTTAAAAAATGTAATTTTAATATTTTATTCTTCAAAATTATTGGTTTGAATTTGTAAAGAGTCATTTAAATGATAGTCGATAAATTTTCAATACAAAAGTTTCAACATTACATTTAAATGTTAGTTTTAAATTTTAATGTGGTAATTTTTGCATTAAATTTTTATCGACTATCATTTAAATGACTCTTTACAAATTTAAACCAATAACTTTTATTTTTAACAATTTTAAATTGATACATTTTTAAGACAAAATTTATAACTTTACATTAAAATATAAGTCGATAATTTTTAAATTACAAAGTGTAAACGTAGCTTTAGTAGAAGGCACAAGAGTCTGAGATCGGAGCCACGATGCAGCCAGTTTGATCCGCAGTGTTGCCAAATCGTGCTAGCTCCATAAATATTTGACGCGTTTTACAAATTATGGTAATGAAAGGTTTCTTTATTACATAAATTTAATAATAGAACAACAACATTTTTAGTGCCTATTGTACTAAGTTAATTCGACAATTAAAAAACATTTTTTTCTAATTTTTAAGAGAAAAAATTTTAATTTTAAAATGTGGTGCCACAATATTACGTTGATGCATCATACAAATTCCCAGTGCCGTTTATAGATTCCCATACGGGATTGTATTGTTCATCTTCTACGGGAGGAAGGAAGGAAGGCAATCTATAAATCAGGCTTAACACTTAACCTCACCACAAAAGCCGGAAAGCGGGAATTTGTTGCATCCATATACCTATAACCTATAAGTTATAGGTATAGGGTTGCATCCACGTAATATTGTGGCACTACATTTTAAAAAAATTTCTCTTAAAAATTAGAAAAAATGTTTTTTAATTGTCAAATTATCTTAGTACAATAGGCACTAAAAATTTTGTTTTTCTATAATTAAATTTATTTAATAAACAAACATTTCAATACGACAATTTCTAAAACGCGTCAAATATTTATGGAGCAAGCACGATTTGGCAACACTGCGGATCAAACTGGCTGCATCGTGGCTCCGATCCCAGACTCTTGTGCCTTCTACTAAAGCTACGTTTACACTTTGTAATTTAAAAATTATCGACTTACATTTAAATGTAAAGTTATAAATTTTGTCTTAAAATATTTCACTTTGAAATTGTTAAAAATAAAAAATTTTGGTTTAAATTTGTAAAGAGTCATTTAAATGATTGTCGATAAATTTTTAATCCAAAAATTACTATAAAATTTAAAACTTACATTTAAATGTAATGTGAGAATGTTTGTATTAAAAATTTATCAACTATCATTTAAATGACTCTTTTAAAATTTAAACCAATAATTTTGTAGAATAAAATATTATAACCAAAACTTTTAAAAATCAATTTTTAAACATAAATTGTTACTATTGCATTTATATTTGTAACGAACGGCACATGGGGGCACACATTAATAATTAAAAAGAATATTAAAACCACAAAAAAACTACCTTTGGCCAAAACACGTGATCGTCTAGTTTAAAGAAATTAAGTTAGGACCCCTTTTTGTTGTGAATACGGTTCTGGATACGTAAGTACTTGAGCAATTAATTAGATATATAAAAAGCAAAGAAAAAGTATTAAATTAAAATAAGTTTATTAATAAAGGCAATTTATACAAGAGTTAATTATTGATACTGTCCATTAATAATATAAATAAAAACATTTGTATTTGAAAAGTATGATTGATTTAAGTTAATAAGGTAAAACCTTAAAAACCCACATATACAATACAGACATATGTATGTCGCACATCTCAACAATATAAATAATACAACAAAATCAAAGTAATCAATATGAATATAATAAATTATATTATCATATTGCTAAGATTATTCACCTACATAAATGGTAGGCTCGGACGGTGTAGATGAGCAAATACACATTGAAATAATTATCAATGTACAGCAACAAACAACAATAATGTGAAACATAAAGTATAATATAACTTAGGTCACAAGCAACAATAATAAATGGTATATGTATAAATAAAATATATAAATAACAAGTGGTATAGTGGTGGACAAGATTTATGCAATTTAATTGTACAGCCATAAATGATAAATAAAATCAGGTATGATAAAGTAATAAAAGTATGTCAGTGCAAATCAAATATAGTAAAATAAAATGATTATCAATAATAATAAAATAAGACCATAAAACAACAACTTCATATCAATATCCCTATTTAACCATTCTTTGTCTAAATTGGTTACCTGGCATTATTGGCCATTGGGTGCGCCTGTCAAAGCAGAGCTGTATCCACCATCCTATTACCAGCAACCGGCAACAAAGTTCCCTAACTAAATAACTCATTTGATATGCCGAACTTGAAACAAGTCTCACCATATTAAATAATGAATATCAATTTATCAAATAAATAAAATAAGATAAACTGTACAAAATAACGTATATAAATGTTAAATATAAATGTGTAGTAAAATGTAAAATTACATTACAATATAATATGTTAAAGTAAATGTAATATAAATTTAATAATTATTTACATAAAATAATGATTATGATTTGATTATCCAACCACCAACATTAAGATAAAATAATTCAACTTATTATTTCTCTCACAAACAAACAAGTTGAATTAATAATAATAAAATATAGTTTAAATTAAATATTAAATCATTAACCACTCATTATGATATTTGTGACCTCAGATTATAATAACTAAATATAGAAAAGACATACCTATTTAAATAAACAACACTTTTCACTAGACTGAATTTATACAAAAAAAACAATGTAATATTTGTTAAATTCCCTCCCTGATACAGTTAAAGAATTTAATAGTAAAACGTCACTCTCCCTTCAAATAGCAAACCCAATTGTTACAAAATTAAGGAATTCAACTAATCCCTTCAACTGTCTAAAATATACTGCCTGCTCAAATAGCAAAACCAAACTGTCTACTTCAAATAACAAAACTCCACTGTTTTTAAAAAATACCCTCCCTTCAGTTTTTAACATGCTTTTCTGTTTTTTTATGTTTATTTTCTCAAAGCCACAGGCCTATCGATATGGTTCATTTGGAACGTGATAACTTTCTCTGTCTACCGATATGGCTCAGACATACGTGCGGTTTTGGTGAGTCTCCCTAGTGCAGTATGGGATGCTTAAAGACACCAACACGTAGGTCTACGCTTAGCACCTTGACAGTGATTTATAAATATCATTCTGTCAGACGTACTATACCCTATTTTTATTACGTGTCGACAAAGACTCTGGAATGCTTAGTTTAAATATTGCCCTAATAAATTATATAATGTAAACAGAATGGGTCCAAATATTAAGTTACTAATAAACACTTGATACAATTTTAAGTTAAATATTTAGAAGTAGTTTCATATTTCGTAAAGCCTTAAAATAATAAATTAAGAAATGTTAAAAATTAACTGCCCCGTATATCGTACCATTACATATTTAAAATATTTTGTTGACTATCAATTGTTTTGAGTTTAAAAAAAATTAACTTTATAAATTTCTGTTAAAACATCATTAAAGTGCTAAACTTTAATCTTTAAACTTTTATCTAATAAATGCTAAAACGGCGTGCCATAGAATTCGTTGCTATTTTGGCATAATTATTTTTTTATTTATAATTGACAAGTAAATTATCAATAATAAATATTATTGTCAATTTGACAGTGTCAAAGTATTTAATTAAATTCTTTAGCAGAAGTACCATTTTTAAATACTAAAAATACCAAGTCAAACTGGCATAAGCCACCAACCTAACAAAAAAACACGAGTCCAGATAAAAAAAATGAACTGTATATTTGATCTTTTTGCAGTGCGTCTATGTGTCTACGTCCAACTATAAATCCACCGTAAATGTATTCTTACGTACCTACCAAGAACAACGCTGTCATTGAATGCATTAAAATTGAAGCAATCTAAATTGTTATTTGCTCAATTAATTACTATTAAACCAAAATAGGGAAATATTTTGCCTAAATGTCAAGGATTTTATTAAGTTAAATGTATACATAGTATACATACAATAGTAACGTTATTAAATAAATCAAATTAGTATTTAATGCAATAACATTCTAACATTCTAACAAATAAATATCAATATGAATATCAATAGATTTAGGAGCGATAACTTTTGTTGTTAATTTAAAAACAGTAAACGATTATAAACCAAGTGCAAACTACCTATTGGTATTATAGGAACTGTTATTCAGGAATACGGATTACAAGATCCCATTGGTTTAATGGCTCACCCATTCATGCTATGCTAGCGTTTTTTCTGTGTAGAAAACACATTTTTCCGTGTAGTTTAAAGATCGCGGTGTTACTTGGGATAACATGAAACACGAACATCGTTTTAGGTTTGAACGCGTCCGAGCAGAAGTCGTTCGTGTTCCTGCGCAAGGAGCTGCCGGTCAGGCTGGCCAACATAATGAAGGAGATCGCGCTGCTGCCGGAGAACCTGCTGCGCATGCCTTCGGTGACTGCGGTCAACGACTGGTACATGCGCAGCTTCCAGGAGATAATCGAGTTCGAGAAGCGCGAGGCGAGCGACAAGACCTTGGAGCACTTCTGCAGCGAGCTGGTGAAGATCCGCAACCGGCACACGGACGTGGTGGAGACGATGGCGCAGGGGGTCTTGGAGCTGAAGGAGTCGCACGACGTCGACCATCACACCGAGCACAGCATCCAGTACTTTCTCGACAGGTTCTACATGTCGAGGATATCGATCAGGATGCTGATCAACCAGCACAGTAAGAAGTTGTTTTTTTTTTAATCAATGACATTTTTTAAATTTATCCCTCTGTGCGAATTTGTCCTACCATTTTCTAAATTTATCCCACTGTGCGTGTTTTTTTTTACAATTTTGGAAATCTTGAAAATTTTTAAATTATTAAAATTTGATAAAATTTCTGTAAATTTATACTTTTTTAAAATTTGAAAAATCTGAAAATTTTAGAAATTCTGGGAAATTTCGAACATTCTGTTAATTTATCCTACCGTGCGCTTTTTACGATTTTGTAAATGTTGAAGATTTTTAAAACTACATTTTGTTAAATTTGAATCTGATATTTTTAGAAATTTTTGAAAATTTAGAATTTTAGAAATTTATCCATCATTTTTTAAATTTATCCCAATGTGTGCTTTTTAGAATGTTTAAATTTATGCCACTGTAAATTTTTCCTACCATTTTTAAATTTATCCCACCGTGTGCTTTTTTACAACTTTGGAAATCTTGAATTTTTAAAAAAAAATAAAAATTTTGTTGGATTTAAAAAATCTGAAATTGTTTGAATTTTTGTAAAATTTCGAACATTTTGTAAATTTATTCTACCATTTTTATTTTTTATTTATTCTACCATTTTTTAAATTTAATTTAAATTTAACCGTGCGTAAATTTTTACAATTTTGGAAATTTTCTTGAAGATTTTTAAAAAAATTAAATAAATTGTTTGGTTTGAAAAATCTAAAAAATTTAGAACATGCGCCTTTTAACAAATTTTGAAATCTAAATTTTTTTAAATATTTTGTTAAATTTGAAAAATCTGACAATTTTAGAATTTGCGATTTTGTCCTACCAATTTAGAACATTTTGAATATTTATCCTATTATTTTTAAATTTATCCCAATGTGTATTTTACAATTTTTAAATTTATGCCACCGTGCGCTCTTTACAATTTTGGAAATCTTAAAATTTTTAGAATTTTTTCACAATTTCTAACATTCTGTAAATTTATCCTACCATTTTTTACATATATCACAATGTGTACTTTTTTACCATTTTTAAATGTATGTCGCTGGAAATTTGCAGCATAATTTTTTAAATTTACCCCACCGTGCACTTTTTTACTATTTTGGAAATCTTGAAATTTTTTTGTTTAATTTAAAATACCTATCTGAAAATTTTAAAAATTTAGAAAAACTTTCTGTAAATTTATCCTACCATTTTGTAAATTTATCCCAATGTGTGTTTTTTTTTAAATTTATGCCACTTCGAATTTGTCCTACCATTTTTCAAATTTATCCCACCGTACTTTTGTTTACACTTTTGTAAATCTTGAAGAATTTTAAATTTTTTGTTAAATTTTTTTATAATTCTTTTTAATTATAGAAATCTGAAAATTTTAAAAATTTTGGAAAATTCTGTGAACTTATCCTACCATTTTTTAAATTTATTCCACCGTGTGCTTATTTATAAATTTGGAAATCTTGAAAATATTTAAAATTTTCAAAATCTGGAAATTTTAGAATTTTTGGAATATTTACATTTTGTAAATTTATCATACCATTTTTTTAATTTATCTCAATGTGTGCTTTTTTACAATTTTAGAAATCTTGAAATATTTGAAAAATATTAAAATATTGTTATATTCAAAAAATCTAAAAATTTTAGAAATTTTGATCATTCTTTAAATTTATCCTACCATTTTTTCAATTTATCCCTGTGTGCTTTTTTAAATTTTGTAAATCTTGAAATTTAAAAAAAAATTAAAATTCTCTAAACTTATTCTACAATTTTTTCAATTTATCCCAATTTGTGCTTTTTTACAATTTTAGAAATCTTGAAATATTTTAAAAACATTAAAATATTGTTAAATTTGAAAAATCTAAAAATTTAAGAAAATTTGGAAAATTCTGTAAATTTATTCTACCATTTTTTCAATTTATCACTGTGCTTTTTTAAATTTTGGAAATCTTGAAATTAAAAAAAAATTAAAATTCTCTAAACTTATCCTACTATTTTTTCAATTTATCCAACCATGTGTGCTTTTTTCAATTTAAGAAATCTCGAAAAATGTGAAAAATATTAATATATTGTTAAGTTTCAAAAAACTAAAATTTTTAGAAATTTTTGAAAATTTAGAACATTCTTTAAATTTATCCTACCATTTTTTCAATTTATGTGTATTTTTTTTTAAGTTTCGAAACCTTGAAATTTAAAAAAAAATTATGAACTTTCTGTAAATTTATCCTACCATTTTATAAATTTATCCCAATGTGTGTTTTTTTTAAATTTATGCCACTTCAAACTTATCCTACCTACCATTTTTTAAATTTATCCCACCGTGTGCTTATTTACAAATTTGGAAATCTTAAAAAAATTTAAAATATTAAAATTTTGTTAAATTTAAAAAATCTGAAAATTTGGAAAATGTATGCCACCGTGCGAATTTATCCCACCATTTTTTAAATTTATGTCACCGTGCGCTTTTTTTACAATTTTGGAAATTTTGAAAATATTAAAATTTTGTTAAATTTAAAAATCTGAACATTTTTGAATTCTGGAATATTTATAAATTTATCCTACCATTTTTTCAATTTACCCCAATGTGTACTTTTTAACAATTTTAAAAATATTAAAATAGGTATTGTTAAATTTGAAATATCTAATTTTTTTAGAAATTTTGGAAAATTTAGAACATTTTGTAAATTTATCCTACCATTTTTAAAATTTTTCCCAATGTGTGCTTTTTTACAATTTTGGAAATCTTGAAAATATTTAAAAATATTAAAATTTTTTTAAATTTAAGAAATTTTGGAAAATTTAGAATTTGTCCTACCATTTTTTAAAAAACAATTTATTTTACTGTGTGAATTTTAATGTTTTTAGCTTTGCTGTTCGGCGGTCAGCTGGAGAGCGCACCAGGCCCCAACCAAAGCAAATACATAGGCTGCATCGACACGCAATGCGACATAGTGAGCGTGATCAAAGACGCGTACGAAAACGCACGATTCCTCTGCGACCAATACTACTTGGCATCGCCCGACCTCATCATCAACGAATCGCAGCACAAACGTAAGTTTTATATATAGATAGAACTATTTTACGGACATTGTTTTCTCTAGGTGATATTTTCCATGCTTTTTTAAATACTAAATTAGTAAAGTTACTTAAAGTGACCATAAAGGTAAAATAAGAAACATTTATGTACCTCAAAAAACTCTCTGTTCATTATAAAAAACAAAAAAAACTTGAAAGACTTATTTAAATTTAAACAGTTCGAATAAAACTAAACAAAACAAGGTATGATAAGCAATTGCATTAATGTGCATGCAAAACGCATGCGCATCACGCCAAATTAGTGCGATTTTCGCAAAATATTGGATCTCAAGATTTCCGCCCCCTAGATTCAAATAAAAAAATCGAATGGATGTTTCGCAATTCGCTTCTATATAAAACGGGCTTTATTGTGATTTTAATTTGACTTCTAATATTCTTAGAGTTGGAAGATGAGAGCTGCCTTAACATCGTTTATGTGCCATCCCATCTCTACCACATGCTGTTTGAGCTGTTCAAAAATTCCATGAGAGCCGTCATGGAGTATCACGGTTCCCAGGATAATTACCCACCGATCTCCATCACCATAGCCAGGGGAAAAGAAGACATTTGTCTTAAGGTATTTGTGTTTTTACACTCACAGGCAAAATAATCGATCCACACAAATTTTCGATGAATTTCAATCGCAAATAACTTTTTTATTCGATGTCGGATTTGAACGAATATTAAAGAATATTGTAGATAAATTAATGGACGATCGCTCACATTTTAAAAAATTACTAAAAAATAGACGTACATTTATAATATACAGGTTTAAACAAAAAGATGTTTTTTACCATAAGTTTAAGACACTATGTAGAGTGTCAAAACAGTATATTGTTCTAAATTAAGTTTTATTTATCAAGTCACATCTATTCTTAACAGTTTTGTTTTTGGTTTACCTCAATATATTTATTTTTGTGGAAAATATGGATTTTTTTAAAAAAACATTGCAATTTCCAATATTTTTCCTGTATAAAGAACTAAGATTGCTATGGTCCATCCATAGGCTATGGAGGATGACAGTGACAGTTTTGTTGAATCATCCCATACTTGGACATGTCATACACGGCTTTCAAAAGCTATCAAATTGTTTTATGCAAATTAATGTTTAAATTTTGAGGTGTCTCCTTACTTTAAAAAATGGATATGTCTCCGACTGATGTTGCCAGAGCCATTAATTTAATCCAGGATGGACGGTCACAGTATTACGTGGCAAGTGTTTTAAACGTCACAAGAAGTAAAGTACAAAGGGCAACATCAGTTGGAGACATTTTTAAAAGTAAGAAGACACCTCAAAATTAACACATTAATTTACAAAAAACAATTTGATAGCTTTTGAAAGCTGTATATGACGTCCAAGTATGGGATGATTCAACAAAACTGTCACTGTCATCCTCCATAGCCTATGGATGGACCATAGCAACCTTAGTTCTTCATACAGAAGAATATTGGAAATTGCAATGTTTTTTTAAAAAATCCATATTTTCCACAAAAATAAATATATCGAGGTGAACCAAAAACAAAACTGTTAAAAATAGATGTGACTTGATGATTAAAACTTAATTTAGAACAATATACGGTTTTGCCACTCTACAGAGTGTCTTAAACTTATGGTAAAAAACATCTTTTTGTTTAAACCTGTATATATTATAAACGTACGTGTATTTTTTAGTAATTTTTAAAATGTGAGCGATTGTCCATTAATTTATCTACAATATTCTTTAAAATTCGTTTAAATCCGACATCAAATAAAAAAGTTATTTGCGATTGAAATTCATCGAAAATTTGCGTGGATCGATTATTTTGCCTGTGAGTGTATTTGTTGGAAAGTTTGTAATAAATCGGGGACTTTTTAGATGTCTGACAAGGGCGGCGGAATAGGTCGGTCCACCACGGATCACCTGTTCAAGTACATGTACTCGACCGCGCCGCAGCCGAGCAAATCCGACGCGCATACGGTTCCGCTGGCGGGATACGGGTACGGGCTGCCCATATCGAGGCTGTACGCTCGATATTTCCACGGCGACTTGATCCTGCTGTCCTGCGAGGGAGACGGCACTGACGCCGTCATCTACATGAAGGTAAGGACTGTTTCTTCAATTTGTTTTTTTTTTAACTAGCGCTAGTTAATAGTTTTTTTTTTAATTTTGAGGATTTTAAAATATCCTTAAAAAATTTTGTAAATTATAAAAATTTAATAATTTTTCAAAATCTGAAATATTTGTAAATTTTGTAAAATCGAAAAATCGCAAAAAATTTCGCAGCTTCAGGAAATTTTTAAAAATAGATTATAAACCTAAATTTAAAAAAAATTAAAATATGAAAATGTAAAATTTTAAAATTATTATTTTGAAATTTTCAAAAATTTATAGACAAATTTTAAAAAAATTGGTAATGTATTTAAAACTAAAAATTTTAGGAAATTTTAAAATTAAATGCAATTTTTTCCCCAAAACCCAACAATTTTAAAATGTCTTAAAAATTTAACAATTTTTGAAATTATAAAATTTAAAAAAATGCAAATACTGAAAATAATTGGAATATTGTGTTTATTTTGAAAAATTATTAAATGAAAGATAATTATTATTTGAAAGATTACCAAAAAATAACTTTCTGCAGATTTTAAATATTTCTCAGGTTCTGAGATTTTTTAAATTTGGCAACCCAAAACCCAGAATTTTTGAATGTTTGAAAATTTGGCAAATATTTTCGCAGCTTTTGAGAATTTTTTTAAAATCGGCAAAACCAAAAATCGGGGAAAAATTTAAAAATATGGAAGTACTATGAAAATTTTGTGAAATATAAAAATCTTGGAAATTAAAAAAAATTAAATTACATTACATTTAATGCCACTGCGAATTTTTCCCTGAAAGCTAAACTTTTTGTAAATTTTGAAAATATTCGAAATTATTGTTAAATTAAAAAAAAAATATAAAAATAATTTTTTTTATAAATATTACCATCGAAATGGTGCGAATTAACTTTCTGCTGATTTCTCTCAGGTTCTGAGATTTTTTTTTTGAAATTTGGCAACACCGCAAAAATCCAGATTCGGGGAATTTTTTAAATTTGACAGCGTCGCTAAAAAATTGCTTCTTCAGGGAATTTTTTTAAGTTTGCAAGACCGAAAACAGATTATAAACATTAATTTGAAAATTTAAAAAAAATAAAAATTAAATTATATAAAGAAATAATTTACATACATACATATGTACATATTTAATGCCGCGGCACTATGTACTAAAATTTCTGAAAATTTTGAGAATTTATAAACTCTGAAAAGATTACCAAAAAAAATAGTGCAAAATAACTTTATGCAGATTTTGAAAATTTCTTTGTGTCTGAGAATTTTTGAAATTTGGCAACACCGCAAAACCCCAGAATCTGGCAATTTTAGCAAATATGGCAGCGTCGCAAAAAATTTCGCAGCTTCAGGAATTTTTTGAAAATTAGGCAAGACCAAAAATAGATTAGAAACCTAAATTAAAAAAAAATAAATAATATGAAAAAGTAAAATTTTAAAATTAAAAAAAATAATAATTTTATATGAATTTTATATAAAATGCCACTGCAAATTTCCCCAAATTTGGCGTCTAATGTCGACTCGTTCTCTTTATAAGGACCTGCTAAAATATTTTTTATTATAAAAGATTTTAGAAAACCTAATTAACCTAATAAACAATTTTAAATCAACTTCTCAAAAAAAAGGCAAAATTTCAATACTACCAAGAGGTAAGTGTGGAGGTTCACCTAAGATGAACCAGTTTTCTTACTAAAATTTGATTTTTTGGCGATACTTAAGGTAGTATCTCAATTTGAAGAGTTTTCATAAAATGTCTTAAAAATTTAATACCTATATAATATCATTTTGCATCAGACACATTCCAAATATTTTCAGATTTCTTACTGCACAGATTCCGAGAAAATATTTTTTCCAGTTGGATTTGGTATTTTGTAGGGCTGTACAATTTAGCCGGTTAAGCCGGCTAAAAAAGTTAGCTAAGTTAATTATCTAGCTAACTGATCAGCTTAGCTAATTTAACCAGTTAACCGAATTAGCTTAGCTAATTAGCTGGCGGCTTAACCGGTTAATTTAGCTTAGTTCAGCTAATTAGCTAACGGCTAACCGGCTAATTAGCTGAGCTAAGCTAGATTAACCGGTTAAGCCGCCAGCTAATTAGCTAAGCTAATTCAGTTAACCGGTTAAATTAGCTAAGCTGATCAGTTGGCTAGATAATTAACTTAGCTAACTTTTTTAGCCGGCTTAACCGGCTAAATTGTACAGCCCTAGTATTTTGTACAGTTAATTTTTTTTTATCTGGACTCGTGTTTTTTGTTAGGTTGGTGACTTAGTATTTTTAGTATTTAAAAATGGTACTTCTGCTAAAGAATTTAATTAAATACTTTGACTCTGTCAAATTGACAATAATATTTATTAATGATAATTTACTTGTCAATTATAAATAAAAAGATAATTATGCCAAAAATAATAGCAACGAATTCGAATGTAAAAGCCCTTTTGAGGGCAAAAGTTCATTTTGATGAAATTATGCCAAATGCCACAATGGAAGAAAAAGTACATCGCCTTATGGACATTTTTGGAGTAAAAACGTAACGAATTTGGTTTTATAAATATTACATCACACATTATTTTCACATTATTCACCATTGGACAACATTTACGTTCTCAAAAAATTTTAATTTCTTTTATATAAATTCTTTTCAAAGCCAAGATTATTATCCGCTAGGAATACTTTCTCTTCTGAGCCGTAAAGCAACCTATATTTAACTACTTTTTTTATATGATTTTACTCATCCAAGCACCACGAAAGCCAAATTAATTGCATTTTTAACTACGAATTTCGACAACTCAACTTGACAACTGCACAATGTAACCTACAATAAGTTATACATAACCTCAATTAGATTTATAACTAGCTTAGTTTGTTTTAATCAATGCGACCAACTTGACAACTGTATTTATCAACCGAAACCCTAAATTTGCAACGTTGCCGCAGTCCAGATAAAAAAAATTAACTTTATCTCTCAGATTTACCTAAAGAATAAACTAAATAATCTAAGAACAAGTGTTATTTTCCATAGATTCTTTCAAAAATTCGTTGTTGATGGCCTAAAAATTGATTTTATTACTGTATATTTTTTATGGAGCACTTTTTGAAATTGTCATTTCAAATTTCGTGCTGCCAACTTAGGTAACACAAAAATATGACAGTTTTAAACCTTAATTTTGCCATAACACAACACATTTCCAATGAAAACACTACATTAAAGAACTAAATCACATGATTTGGTTATTTTTAGGCTTTGTCCAATGAAGCCAACGAACTGTTGCCCATCTTTAATAAAACAACATCGAAATTCTACAGGACTGTGGTCCAAACAGGGGATTGGTCGAATCAAGCGACCAATATTGGCGACCGCCAGTTGAGTCAAAACATTAAGAAACACCAATTGCCACAATCCTGTCAAGAGTCAATGACAAATGCACTGTAAAATTTTATTTTCTACCGATTAGTTTTTTAATTGATTTGACAAGCGTTTGTTGAACTTATTATTTTAGCATTAGGTATATTCACTGTTGTGATAATTAATATTTAAATTTTAAACTGAAACTTGTTACTAGATCATGTACATAAACTATTCTTTTAGACTGTCTAATGTAAATATTTATTTTTAAGTTTGTAAAAATGTAAATAGGTACAAATGAGTTTATTAAGCTTAAAGTTATACTTTGAAATATATTCTACATGTGATGTTATTGATGGGTAATTTAAGAATAAAATATATGTTCCTTTGTTAAGTATTGTTTTTATTTAACCTTTCAAAAATGCAGACTTAAAATTGCTTAAAATTTTTATTCTGGTACACCTTGTATTCAAATTTAATACCATTTTCTTCCTGTGTTTCTTGAGGTATATCAGGTAAGCTAAAAAATATAATCAAGAAGTTTTCTTTGTAAATAATGAAAATAACTTTCATCTGGATCTGCCCCTGGTTTTATTAATACTTTATTAGTACATTAACCAAGAATCTAAATCCAATGAGTATCACCAAAACTAGGGGCAAATTTAAAACTATGCTTTAATCTTTAAATCATAGTTTTGAGTTTTAAACTAACCTTATTAATTCTAAATTATCTCCTAAGGGTGGAAAAAAAGTATCACAGTCAAATGTTTTTAAAATCCTGGTAAGAAATAATCTATAGAAATTTTTGGACTCCATGGATTCCTAGAGTAAACAAAATTATGGGCTTACAAAGAGGAAACAAAATATTTTGCATTTTTTAGAAAATTTCATTTTTGATAAAACTTGATTTTCTTTTTATTTTAAAAGAAAATTGAAGTAGGTTTTTTAAAATTATGGAATATATAATTTTTTAAAATTTTAATTATGTTTGACATAATAATTAAATAAAATTATGTCTAGGCATAATAATAATTATTTAAAATCAGTCTAAGCATAATAATAATTATTTTTACATTAAATTTTAATTTTACGCATTTTTTGTAACATTTAAATATTTTACCCAACAAATATTTTTAAACGTTTTTATATTATTTTGTTGGTTGATTAACATTTGCGTCATTTAAATTTGGTCCATTTTTATTTTGTATAAGGTTCTTTATTTTTATTTTGAAATTTATATTGGAATTATTGTGAGACCAAAAACACTGTAGAAAATTATAATTAATTTTACGTCTACACATATTTGGGACTGTGTACACAATTTTGGGAAATAACAAAATTTTCTGAAAAATCAAAATTGCAAATTAACCATGAACAAAAAAAAATAATGTGTCCCATATTGTGGGGGTTTGAAATCAAGCAAAAACTTTTACCAAGAATCAAGTAAAAAATATGTACCTTATAAATAAAACTGCCACCTACGACCCAAACATGTTCATAATTCCCTTTAAACTTATTTTCTTCAAGTTCCTTTATAGCATCATCCAAACTCTTAAAACTGTAGGTGTTTGTGTATCCCTCTAAATTTAAATCTGATCGGGACAACACTAAATTAATTCGGTTATTGAGGGGTTTAAATTTTGGGGGAATACTATCCCAAGTTCTTCTACCCATTATCACAATATTCTTTTTACTTGCATCTTCAGTAGTTGAGGTAAGTTTTGTAAAATAGGCCATTTCAGTCCTTAAATTTATAATATTAATAATAAATTACTACAATTATTGCTAACTTACTTTAAACGCCATGGGAGGTTGTTATTTTTACCAATGCCCATGTTCTCGCATGCTGCGGCAATTAAATTTAATTTTATGGTCATTTTTCAACATTTATTTGGAGGTTAAAACCTTTCCCGCTTTGACAGAAGGCCAACCTAAATATTTTGAAAACAGTAGCGCCATCTATAAAAACGTAGCAAAACCATGCTGAGCGCAGAAGGCAAATAAATCCTTATTAGAATTACCATAAGAATATTTAAGCTGGGTTCTAACAGAGAAATAACGTAATATAACTTAATTTAACTTTAAAAGTAATTTAATTTAATTTACTTGCGTTCATACAAAAAGTAACGTAATTTAATAGTGTTTGAAATTAAAACAATATTTTAAAGAGAGTGCTTACTTAATGTATCTAAAACTTAAAGTTTTAGATATATATGGCTTACTTTGGTAATTACAATCGAAATATTTGTCTTATTATTAAAACCGTTTACACAAAATAGGTTAGATTCTCCCAAAATAGGTTAGATAATACGAAATAACCTTGAAATAACGTAATTTAATTTAAGAGATAAAAGTTGGCCAACTATTAAATTAAGTTTTAAATTACATCACTGTATGAACGTTACAAAGGATTGTTGGGTTTTTAACTTTTAAGTTAAATTAAATTACATCTTAAATTAAATTACTTTTCTGTTAGAACCAGGCTTTACTTTCAAACCTATTCTTTTTATTGGTATATAAGATTATCAAACGAATAAACTCTTTCTTGGGTGCGAAATGCAGGTACAATTTTTTTATTGATTTTGTCTAGCGTAATCAATATTGTTGTGGCATATCAACGTTTTAGATTAGTGCAGTTATTCAAGCAAGTTTGTTTGGGTTTTTGGAACGCGGCAAAAACGCCGAAATTTCCGCTCATGGTGTAGGTAAGTGGACGTGTGTCATTTGTCTTCTATTTATAAACAATCCTGCGCTTGTAAATATAGAGTGGTAATTAACGTTGCTTGTGAAATTTTAAGAGAATATTTTTCTGAAATATAAAGGGTAATAGACATTTGTTTACTACTGTAGCATTTTAGATGAAGCAACCAATTGGAGATGAATCAAACGTGCTAAGTGTCACTTCGATAATACAAAAAGAACCCTCATCATTATCGCTGGAAGTAGAGGGTAAGGATGTGTGAGGAATCAGCATGTTTGGTACCTCCGTTGGAACCTGCGCTAAATGGGCCATCTGAACCCAGACGTATGTCCTAACAAAACTTTATATTTTAGTTGCATGCGTTTTTATACTAAATTAGTAATTTAAAATTACAATTTACTGCCAAAACAGAGTATGTCCCGGAATACCACAGTGATTATCTTTTAAACATACAAACTATGATTTTATGGCGTTTTAGTCACGGCCTGAAGTTAGCTTCAAGTTAGTTGCCGGTAAAACAGATTCCAACGCCAATTTGGTTACTTCATTTTTGTAAAGGTAGATGTCGCTAAATTATTATATTAATAAATAATTTTTTATAATAATCTAATCTATAATTTAATACTTTTGTATTTTAGTATTCAGAAAACAAAATAATTTTCACATTTAGTTTTATTTTACATGAAATGCACTTTATTTTAACGATTGTATGACATTTGACAACTGTCAACTAACTTAAGTTAGTTGACAGTTGTCAAATTTTTACCTAATGCATTTTAGGAAAGTTTATAAACAACAGTGATTAAATACACAACTTCAGCCCGTGACTAACGCGCCATAAAGCCACAGCTTGTCAATGTGTATTTTATCACTATTGTTTATAAACTTTCCTAAAATGCATTAGATAAAAGTTTAAATTGGGAAAGAGTCCCAGATAGCACAAGATGTCCTGAGGACATCCGGTTTAAATCCTTTACAGACGGTCGCGACCAGAAAACCGATGGACGTACTGAGGCCTAGGCCGATGGACATCCTGAGGCCTAGGCCTCAGTACGTCCATCGGTTTTCTGCCTGCGACGAAAGTTGAAGATACAATTTGATATATCACCCTTTATAAAGGGTCTAAGTGAAAAAAAATTACACCTTGTTTTTTATTAAAAATACTCTTTAATAAAGCACGATAAAAGATTTTAAAAAAAGTTGTCCATTTTTTTTACTTATATAATTATAATTACGGCCCGCGTTATGTTACCCCGGTACCGTTTAGCCATGTTCTAACCGAAGTCGGCCAGAATACGGCATGCCGATGCAAAATCCTTCGGCTTGCCCTAGCCAGCCCGCTTACGGCTGGAATTCGGCCTGCCGCGGCATAATCGATACATCTCACGGCTGCTTACGCACGCGAGCTAACTATAAATAGCGATTGGTTGAAATATTTAGTTGGAAGTGTGTGTCCGCAATGGCATAGCTGAACATTAATTGTTTGGAGTCCCCATCTCCATTCTCATCTGCTCAGTAACGAATAATGTCTAGCTAGTCGAGTGTGTTAAAAAAGTATCTTGCGATTCAGAGAATTTCAGGACTGAACTTATAGGATATACCTCTCCAGGACGTCTGTAAACTTTTTTATTATAATAAAACTATGTCCTAATTCGGTCCTCATATGTCCCGAATTGGACAGCTTGGGGTCAAATACGGACGTCCTGAGGACATCTGAAACAGTCTATTTCGGAAGTCTGTGGACGTACTACGAACGTACTTTTGCAGACCCCGGACATCCTGAGGACGTTCGGGTTGTCCTGGGTGGAAGTCCTACGAACGTCCTACGAACGTACTTGTGCTATCTGGGGTAAGGTTAAATCCGCTTGACCATACGCTAAAGAAGTATCGGGTTTTCGCACCGCGCGCGCCATCTGGTGGATTTTAAAAGAGTTGCGTGAATTTAAGAATTGTCAACAATACATTTAAAGCATACGAACTGTACATCATTTTTAAATAAAAAGGTAGTTTTTTCACAATAGAAAGGAATGCAGAAGTCTTAAGCCGGATTTATAGTTTGACGGAACGGAACGGAACGTAGACGTAGACGCACTGCAAAAAGATCAACTTTAAAATGTATGTACTCTTGTTTATAAATGAACGTAAGCGTATGACGTAACGTAAGCAAAACGGACTGAAACGGAAGAGTTGGTCAACATTTATCTTTTACAGTGCGTTTCTTACGTCTGGCCAATAGGAAACCAGTAAACATAACCCCACCTACATTTTAAAATAACGACTATTAATAATTATTACAATATTATAAATGACATTTGATAGTTGTTTTTTTGTGATCTGAGGTTTATAAATTTGTGTTTGTGCTAAAAAATGGACATCTAATAACTTATTAAATACAGTCATTCTCGTATACTTAAAGAACTGATCTGGATCAACTATTTTCATTTTTAAAAAATAATTGTAGGCATTCTCCACTTTTCTGTTAAGGTTAATGGGTCTTGTTTTATAACGTCTTGGGCGCCTAATTATTGTTTTTCCAGTTTGTCGACAATTTTTCAATGCTGCTGCACACAACAGTAGACCCACAGCACCAAAAAGTATACCTTCATGTATTTCATAATCCATTGTGACACGGAAGACGAAACAGAATTAAACACAATTAAACAAACACAGGCAAGACGGCGCATGCGAAAAAAGTCCGTTCCGTCGATTTATAAATTGAATACTTTTTTACAGTCCGTTTTTTACGTATCCAGTGCGTCTACGTCTACGTTCCGTTCCGTTCCGTCAAACTATAAATCCGGCTTTACTCGACAAATTTTGTTCAATTGCACAGCTAAATCGCGCACGTTATTTGTGTTTTACGTTGCAAGGAAAAAACTAAAAAACTGGTTTAGTACTCGATTTCTATTGATTATTCTTTATATCATTGATTAAGAAACTCAACACTTAAATGCTTATATAGTTACGTTAGTGTGTTTATTTTATCCAAGGGATCATGGTGAATTATTGTGTTTTTAATTGTAAATAAAATTTAAAACTAAATCGTTGCATATTCATGTTTTGCCAAAGGATCCAATTCGGTTAGTACATTTATTGGTGCAGAATTAACTAATGATAATTTTACCTAATATAATTCATATTTAATTTTGGACATTTTTAAGAAATTAGTAAAAAATATTTTTTACACAAACATAACCTTAAAATTAACCATTTTTATATTTGAGTTCTCTAAAAAACGAATTCATGGCCACATAATATTATATATAATACATAATATAATGGTATTTTACTGTTAAGTGGAGACTTAAGTCTCCAATTTAAAGAATTCTAAATCAACGCTTTTAATAATGCTAAATGCTGTTTAAATTTAGACGACTAATTTGTTTGACGATTATTACTGAATTGAAATGTTTACATTTTTCACGTTAATTATTACTAATTTTAAAATGTGTATTTATTGTATCTAATAGATACAATTTATATTTACAGGGACTGTATGAAATTTATTTCTTCATTCGGATTAACACTGTTTTTTTCAAAACCGATAAAAACTCAACCCAGGATTTCCTCTCGAAATACACCCAACAACACAACAAATCGTGCCACGTTTTTTTTATTCGATATTTTTAACATTTCCCGGCTTTATTCTCAAAAACACTCGTTTGTAACACACACGTTTGACAGCTGATTATCAAAAGTTGTACTTTTGTTACGATGATAACAGCCGAGTGGTGGCGCTACTAGCGATACTTCTTTAGCGTATTGTCAGATGTCAAATAAAATGGATAAATTTAAATTTAATATTTTAAATAAAAAGGTGAAATTGAAAACCTTAAGGTTTTAATTAATAACATAAAACTCGAAAATTATTTATAAATTGTGGTAGGTAGGTATTTAAAATTATTCTACATTTCTATAAAGTTTAATTTATTGATTAATTTTGGCATCGTACGATCACGTGATATTTTTTTTAAATAATAATTTTTTCACCCGCATTTACTTATAACGAGTTTAACCTTGTTTAGCACTATTAATAAAACCTAATGACATTTACCTACTTCGCATTTAGGGCAACAGGGTGAGGTCTTTTTCGATAAAACCAGGTCGAAACCCTCATAAATGTTTTTTTTCATAATGTTTTTTTATCCTGAACAAAAATGTCAAAACAATATTAATCCTTTGTTCTCAAACATAACTTGCTTCCTTTAATATTTCGTTCAAACTGAATTTAGGGTCATTAACAAATAAAAATAAACCTTAAGGAAATTGCTAAAAAGGCTGATGTCATATTTAATTAAATTAATAAACTGTTTAAATACAATATAGGTATCTAAGAAATAACTAAATATTTCTTTTAAAGTATGCTATTGCCTTTATAAAAGCGTAGAGCTTTGAGGCAATAGGTATTACTTAATTTAAGTAAATATTTTGTTAAATTTACTTTGAACTAAAACTTTTTTTTAAAGTTTTATTTATGTTATTTTTACCTATTTAGGCTGAAGGACGAAAGTCAATGGCCCTTTGAAAAATGTATTTTTTTCAATAAAGAACATTTATTTATTATTATTATTTTACCTATTTTAATAACCCTTAAGTTTCAACACTTTAAAGTTTAAAGTACTATGACTCATTATGTCTCTCATAGACTATGAGAGACATAATTTTTACAAAAAAAATTACTTATAAGTGCATTTCACCTAAAGGAAAATTTAACGGTAATTTTAACATTTTTTTACTTAATGGTAAATGTTACTCATAAGTCATAATTTTACCACATTAAGACCACTTTATAACCGTAAATAATTCCTATTCGCCTGATATATTTTAGGGTTATTAGTGGTAGTAAATACTATTAATATTGACTAAACATGGAAAAATAAGCTTAAAGTGAAAAATAAAAAAAAATTCAGATCGCGTTAATAATGGCATCCATTACTTATCTAAACATTTATATAATATTTTTTCATAAATATTTTTCTAAAATATAATAAGGAAAGTTTTAGTTATTAAAAAATGATTAAAACTAAATGATTTTTAAAAGATTTTATAAAATTTTGTAGGTTTTAAGTTTTGTTGAATATTTACCCAAGCAATAATTTTTCTTAAAACCGTAAAGTATTTAGAGGGCATATAATTTTTAAGATGTATCGTGCCTATTTTTATCAATAAAATAATGTGCGTTTAAGTTTTAATTCAAAATATTTTTAGTTTTGACAATTTAAGTTATATTTTTTAATTTTACTCTAGGGTGGACTTTATTACTTTGTAAGTACCATTTTGTAAAATATAAATTAAAAGAACAAAGAAATTACGAGCAAACATTTAGTATTTATAACGTTATTTTTACGTATTATGTCTCAAAATTGGCCTCCCAAACGTGAAAATTAAATTCCTCTTAATATTTCAATACAAATTTTGTAAAATATTACCTAGGTTTAAAAATGGAACACCAAAATCTTTATTAGAGAAAATATTAATTAGTTAAACCCAGCATGAAAAAATATATATGTCTTTAACAAAACAGTTCAGGAAAAAACATTTTGAAGGTTTCTGTTCGCCTTGTTCCAGTATCTTCGGGCAGCGGAGGTGTAGCCCACAATGGAGAAGCCCTAGTGGGTTTCCACGAGGACGCCCTGTCCCAGGCGGCAATGGGAAAGGCTCAGCTGCTTCTTGCCATCGTGCTGGGACTAGGTCTGGCAGCTGAGTGTTCAGAATTAACCATCCTTAATTACATTATGCCCGCAGCTGAGCTTCATCTTTGTATTGACGAACACAGAAAAGGGTGGCTAGGTAAGTGACCACGAGACATTAAAAATAATAAACGGTTTTAATGGACAATTCCGTCCATATGATAATATTAACGTAATTTCTAATAATATTAATGTAATGTTTAGTTAGGTACCCTGATAGCACAGAGACATCTTAAAGATATCTTTATGACATCTTTAAGACGTCCAGTTTACGACGTAAGTAATCTTTAAGGAGTCTTTAAGATATCCAATGTTACAAAACACATTGTCTTTAAGATGTCGTTTTATTTTACAAATGGATATTATTAATTGTAGAAAAAATAACCAATCTACAAGAATGTCAGATATATATTTTTTTAGTTACCCTACCCATCGTCGTTGTCAAAACTTAAAATCCTACATTAACAACGTTGTTTCTATTACACCAAAATAAGATATATAATTTCGATTTTTACTTGTCAAAATAAACTATTTTATCAAAAAATATTTAAAAAAATAAACGGCGGTATCAGGCATTTATAAGATGTCTTTAGAACATTAAATGAAGATATCTTTAAGACATCTTTTTTAGATCTTCAGACGTTCAGGCATAATACAGACATACAAAAGACATCTTAAAGACTTTGTGTGCTATCTGGGTTTAGTAGTAAGTGTTGTCAAATTTGTATAGTAAAAAAATGATTTATTTTAAGTTTCTATATCCTTATTGGCGATGGCTGGCGGATCCTTTATCTGGGGTATCCTGGGCGACCACTTGGGCCGAAGAAGAGCCCTTATATCGGCCCTATCTGTGGCCGCCCTGTTTTCAGCTGTAGCTGCAGTAATGCCAACGTACGGAACCTTTATGACCGCTAGGTACCTACATTTATTAGTTTTGGGTTGCACAGCAAACGGAAAATATAGAAGTGTATTGGATGACGCCACATTTGAATACAGTATTCTAAACCCTCGCCACGGTATAGAGTTGTATTCGTCAGTCGAGCGTTTCAATACTCTCCACAGTATAGAGGTCGTAATTTGACTTTTCAACTAGTATTAATATGAAAATTATTTTATGCTTGAAAAAAAATTATATTCGACATGATTGTGATTTTTTTCATATTATTAATTAATTGAGCTGTGTTGAATATTTTTCCTAAATGAATAATTGCCAATGGGCCATTAATTCATTTGTTCGTAGATGCTACAATAACCTGCACTGGTGTGTACTTTTTGATCAACCAGATTTAAATATTGCTGTGCTAACAAATACCAGTAGAGATAGTGCAGGGTCTACCAACAGACCTCATTACTAAATTATTAAAGTTTAATAGCATATCGATCATTTTTTCAACATAACCTCTGAAATTTTTAATACAAATATAGGTACTTTATATAATACCTAAATATACTTAACATCATATCCTCTGTGCTTTACATACCTGGGTTGTTACGGTAAATAAAAATCAGACTAAGAAACCAAAAAAAGGAACTATTTTCAACAAAATCATATGCAGAAATGAGAATATTCAAACTACTTGCATCCATCAAAAGATCAAAACTTCTTGCAATATTGAATTACACCCCTTTTTATACTCTCAGAAATATTGGCTAGAACAGTATTAGAGAGACTCCAGTTTCTATAACTTGGTGGAGTAAAGAGAAGTCGAAACCGTTGCGATATTGCATTGCGCTGTTTTTGTATAATTCTCGGGGACATTAACGAAAATCATTGCCAGTAAAATTCGAAAAGCTTGAGTTTCTATGTCTCTGATGAGAATAGGAATCCGAAGTTGCTGCACCATTGGCTGAACCCTTTTCCAATAATTTCTAGAGACATAAACGACTGCGCCATTCGACAGGGTCGAGTTTCTACCTCTCTGTTGTGTATAGAAAATCAAAATAATGTATCTTGTAAGACACCATTGAGTTTGACTTTAACTATAGTCGTGCATTATGATAGGTATAGAGGCGAAAAATATAAAAGTCATCCTATACAGTTCTATATTTTTCATTTGCTGTGTGATATCACATATGTTTTACGAAATTTTACTGTAGGTTTTGTTCTGGACTGGGCATATCAGGAGCATTTCCTTTATCATTCAGTTATTTGACAGAAACTTGTTCGAGATCTTCTAGATCTAGGTATACGGGAATATTGCACTCTATGTGGCCTTTAGGAGCTGTTTTCACTTCGGTCATATCATATGTGATTTTGCCCTCTTTGGGGGCCGATATCGTACAAGACAATCGCGAACATTGGACCAGTTGGCATAAGTTTCTCATTCTTAGTATTCTTCCCATCCTAGCATCAATTATAGGTAAGATACCTTTTTAAATGCTTGCATACCAGAAGAACCTTACGAATTTCTAATGTTAAGGATTAATGTGGGCTTCTGAATCTCCAAGATACCTTCTTGAAGCTTCAAGGGAAGTGGAAGCCTTGGAGGTATATCAACGATTGCATAGATTAAACAAGGCGAGAACTCAGTATGGTTTAACTGAGCTCGAGTTACCTGGTAGAAGTGCCTATAGAGAGCGACCAACGAGTCCTTCAAGAAATATTTTCAGCCACGGAGTCAACACGGTAAGTACAATGTACTTAGTAGCTACATCCTAATGATTTACATTAGTTTCTGTTCTTTGGTACATATAAAATGCAAAAAACTTTTAAAAATGGTTAATCAAAAAGCTACCAAATTCGAGATATATCTATAGATAATTCACCAGCGATACACAAGCTCCTTTGCAGTTCTGCAAAGATTGTTTGCATGCACTTAGACCACAATTGGTCCTTTGTACTGACTCCTAGATCAAGAAAGAAAAAAGAGCTATTAAGACACAACTATTTTGTTTTAGTTCCGTGAAGCATTGCAACGTATCTCATCCCCAATTCATTTCCGCACAACTCTTCTTCTAGCCGCTTTACACCTTCTGCTTGGCTTCATTTACATGGGCGTTTCTACGTTTTCCTGGTCGTACATCAAACATTTGAGGGACGAGGAGTACAGATCGTCGAGGCAATTCTTCGACAACGTAACTTACACAGGGATCACCATTAACGATACCATAGATAACGTGCAGTACAGCAATAGTGTGTTCCGGAATATGACTTTCACCAACATGGGTTTGAACCATGTGGAGTTTTACAATTGCACCTTGGAGGATACGGAGTTCTTCAATGTGAAGGCTTCGGTACTGAGGTTCGATATATCCACAATCAAGAATTGCAGGTATAGAATACAAACTGTTTCTGATCTTTCTTCACAGCAAACGGAAAAATATAGAAGTGTATTGGATGAGGCCACGTTTGAATACAGTTTTCTAAACCCTCGGCACGGTATAGAGTTGTATTCGTCACTCGAGCGTTTCAATACTCTCCACAGTATAAAGGTCGTAATTTGACTTTTCAACTAGTATTAATATGAAAATTATTTTATGCTTGAAAAAAAAAACTATATACAACTGGATTGTGATTTTTTTCATTTTATTAATTGATTAAGCTGTGTTGAATATTTTTCCTAAAGGAATAATTGCCAATGGGCCATTAATTCATTTGTTCGTAGATGCTACAATAACCTGCACTGGTGTGTACTTTTTGATCAACCAGATTTAAATATTGCTGTACTAACATATACCAATGGAGATAGTGAAGGGTCTACCAACAGACCTCATTACTAAATTATTAAAGTTTAATAGCATATCGATCAACTTTTCAACATAACCTCTGAAATTTTTAACACAAATATAGGTACTTTATATAATACATAAATATACTTTACATCATATCCTCTGAGCTTTACATACCTGGGTTGTTACGGTAAATAAAAATCAGACAAAGGAACCGAAGAAAGGAACTATTTTCAACAAAATCATATGCAGAAATGAGAATATTCAAACTACTTGCATCCATCAAAAGATCAAAACTTCTTGCAATATTGAATAACACCCTCTTTTTATACTCTCAGAAATATTGACTAGAACAGTATTAGAGAGACTCCAGTTTCTGTAACTTGGTAGAGTTAAGAGGAGTCGAAACCGTTGCGATATTGCATTGCGCTGTTTTTGTATAATTCTCGGGGACATCAACGAAAATCATTGCCAGTAAAATTCGAAAAGCTCGAGTTTCTGAGTCTCTGAGGAGAATAGGAATCCGAAGTTGCTGCACCATTGGACTGAACCCTTTTCCAATAATTTCTAGAGACATAAACGACTGCGCCATTCGACAGGGTCGAGTTTCTACCTCTCTGTTGAATACAGAAAATCAAAATAATGTATCTTGTAAGACGCCATTGAGTTTGACTTTAACTATAGTGGTGCATAGGTATAGACATCCTATACAGTTCTATATTTTTCCGTTTGCTGGAATGGTCTTTGAAGCATTGTTTTGTTGAAGGTTCGTCGATACAGACATAAGTAAGCATAATTTCGCGCATTGCGTTGAAATTAACAACACCTTCATGTCCGTAACATCAGACTGCTTTGAAGATTTCGATTACAACATCTACATGGATGATTTATATGACGAGACGATTGCCTGGTCGGGTTCCATGTTTCCCGCTCTTTTCGTCCTGGGTTTCGTGATCGAAACCATCTCGAGACCGCCGGTCATCATTACCTCTTTGGGCTTAGCTGCCATAGCTGGTTCAGGGATATTTTTACTGACCACATCCGTTATAGTGGAGATTGTTGAGGTTTTGATAAAAATATTCTTGACGTGTGCCGTCAATGTGATTACTTTGGTTGTCGTGGAAGCATATCCATGTCATTTAAGGTAAGATTATTTGAATTAGTCATTATACGCTAGTAGCGCCACCACTCGTATCCACAGATTATAAAACTCGTAACAAAACCACAACTTTTGATAATCAGCTGTCAATACTTTAAAGTCTCCACTCAACGATAAAATACCATTATGTTATGTATATATTATGTTGCCATGAATTCGTAGGTTTATTTTGTTGTTTAAAATGCAGTTGTCGGCATTTTTTAGAGGTTATGTTTGTGCAGAAATTATTTTTTACTAATTTCTTAAAAATATCCAAACTTAAATATAAATTATATTAGGTAAAGTTATCATTAGTTAATTCTGCACCAACAAATGTTCTTACCGAATTGGATCCTTTGGCAAAACATGAAAATGCAACGATTCAGTTCTTGAATTTTATTTACAATTAAAAACGCAATAATTCACCATGATCCCTTTGATAAAATGCACACACCAGCGTAACTTTATAAGCATTTAAGCGTTGAGTTTCTTAATCAATGATATAAAGAATAATCAATCGAAATCGAGTACTAAACCAGTTTTTTACTTTTTTCCTCGCAACGTAAAACACAAATAACGTGCGCGATTTAGCTGTACAATTGAACAAAATTTGTCGAGTAAGTAAATGATGTACCTACAGTTTTTCTTTTTCCTATATCTCCTTGTGTTTCTGAAGCTTAAAGGTAAAATAATGGTAGCATCTTTTACTAATTTATTTCATTTTTGTCCCTACCAATTTATTCCTTTTCTAGTCTTATTCCTTCAGGAAGTTTTCCTTCATGTTCTAACTTTGCGATATAATCTTTAATATCCTTTTTGATGTTTATTTAGGTAAATATTAGGCTTTTGAAAAATTGACCAATGACATTATATTGATAAATATTTGAACAAATCCAGAGTTAATTTAAGTAAATATTTTGTTAAATTAACTTTAAAAATTTACTTTAAAGTTATTTAATAAGTTTTATTTATGTTATTTTTACCTATTTTAATAACCCTTAAGTTTCAACACGTATTATGAGGGACGTAATTTTTAAGAAAGAAAATTACTTATAAGTGTATTTCACCTAAAGGGAAATTTAACGACAATTTTAACGTCAGAATTTTTACTTAATGGTAAATGTTACTCATAAGTCATAATTTTACGATATTAAGACCACTTTTCAACCGTAAATAATTTTTATTCGCCTGGTATTTTTTAGGGTTATTAGTGGTAATAAATACTATTAATATTGACTAAACAAGGAAAATTAAGCGGGAAAATTTTTTAAGTACCATTTTGTAAATTATAAATTAAAAGAATAAAGAAATTACGAATGTCAATGTTTTAGAAAGAGAGAGCAAACAGTTAGTAATTATAGCGTTATTTTTACGTAAATTTGTGGTATTTATATTGTTTTTATTACGTTTTGGTTAACCGTAAAAAATAGTAGTAAATTTGTAGTTATTTAAACTTAAAATGCTGCTTGGGAACTCATGAAGACAATTGACAATATTGTGTTTTTAGGTGCACTGCGCATGGCCTTCTGCGCAGTCTTTTTCACATAGCCTCCCTATGTGCCATACCCATCTACAACATGCTTTTGCACACGATATTGTTGTTCCCTGCTTTGATTACCGTTTCGCTGACCCTATTGGCTGCAGTACTTTCTTCAAGAATACAGGATAACAGCAAGGTCCTTTTGTAATTTATTTAGTTATTATTATTGTCTGGTTAGTAGCCCTAAACCACAAAGTATGTAGAATAATAATTAGGGTGGTCCTTTATAGGGTTGTTTTTGGATTTGTATGGTATATACAGTATAGGTACCTTATATATATTTATATAAATATTAAATATTTTTTCGTTTTAAAATAGTTTAATAGACATAAAAATAGGAATTCTCTGTTAATAATTTTTTCAGGCAGTTTAATTTTGTATACCTACATTTATTGTTTAGAATTTTTTTTTAAATCACGAATATATTTTTTAATAAATATAATACCAATAATATGCTGGTCCAATCAAATGTATTTAGATTACTAAAATTACATATCGTCGTAAATGAATTTAAAAGTTAAGATAACTTTACATCAAAAAATAATCTTTAAAATTTTAATTGCAATAATTATTCTAACAAAACAAAACAATTTAGTACAGCCTATACGACTGAAATAATTATAATTACCAAAATTATTAAAAACAAAATATATTGGTTAAAATTATTAATTTTTATTGGCCTAAATTAAATTTTATACAGATATTTTATTATAAAATAATCAAAATAAGTTACCAGTCTTTAAATTAAAAAATATGGCACAAATCTAATCTACCTAATTTTTTTCATTAGGGTGAATATATTGAGATGTCCCCCAAGTAAAAATGATTATTTTTTATTTTTGGTTGTTTCACTGTTAGTCTAGAATGGGCTTTTTGGGAGTAATAACATAACATAAGTTGTTCTGCACTAATGCAAGAATTTTAAGAAATCATACATTTTGAATATTAGAGCTTCACGGAGGTTAGGATTTCGTATGTTTTTTTTAAACATCCCTTTGTATATTTGAAATAAGTTATTGTATCTAAAAATACATAAAATATTTATGAAAAAAGTCTACTTACTGAGATATTACACTTCACGGTGGATAGGTTTTTAAATGGCAAATTAATGAACTTAAACTTTTGAATTATAAAACAGCAACACTCTCATCTGCATATAAATTCTAACTTACCTTTAGGAATCACATGCATCTATAATGTCGTAAACAGAGGTTTTTGCTTATTTAAAATGATAAAAGCGCCATCCGTTGCATAAAATTTAAAGCAAAAACAGATTCACGGAGGATAGAATCAATTTTTGTAACACCTACATAAATGGTTATAAAAATTATTTCTTATAATTTTTAATAATATTTTATATTTGATTCGATTGCTTTGGATGTGTTTAATTTACTTAGTGAACTGATATTTTCAGTATGATTTTACTACCTCAAATATTTGAAAACATATAGGTTAACCTAGAAAGAGTAACAGTCACGGAGGATAGGTTTTAGACTTTTAAAACATTAATTGCGGTTAAAATGTGGAACCTGAGCTGTAATATATTAGTAGATATATCTACTTAATTATGAAAGATCAAAACATTAAATATTATTAAATATCACGGGGGACATTTCGTGAGATTCACTCATTAATAAATACTAATAACATTCTTGTTTTAAATTATTAAATATTAGAATGTATCTGTGATATTTTTTTACATATTTCATTTAATTAATATTATTTGTAAAATGGGTTAATTTGCTGGAATAACGACTTTTTAAATTGTATAAATATAGGTATTGTCAATTAATTAATATCATTTTAGTAATGTAAGCATTTTGCATATCAAATATCAAGGACATGTCATTGTCAAATATGCTTAAGCATAGACAACCAGTCAAACCCTCCTTTTATAAATCCCTGTACCTATTGTTAGTGAAATAAAAGTTTGTTTTTATTGTTGAAAAATATATGCTTGTAAAATATGACTTTATTTATTTTCCTTTGTTAATTGGGTTAGAAACTGATATTTTAAAGTTTTAAAACCAAAATTGTAGACCTTCAAATTTCTAAACTTTTTGTTTTGAGGCAAAACTTTCTGCATTTACATCCTAAAAAGATAGAGGTCGCCTAGTTAACGAAAATTAGTTTTTTAATACATTGAACGTCTAAACTTCATTGTTATAAAGCTACGCCTCAATAGATGGAGCCAGTGTAAATATTCACCTACCCCCCGATAGATGGCGCAAGGGTTCTCGATCAATTTCCTTTAGCATCCAATTCATAGAGGGCGCTGCAGTCCTAGAGTGAAGATGAGGTCCCTAAGTGCAGTAAAAATGCCTGGGTTGCTCGTTATTAATATCATAAGGGAATAAGCTGCTGTTATTGCGCAGCCCGAAGCAATTTTCCAGCACCGTACCCGCGGGACATGTAAACGTAGCGTAATTGTTTAATTATTGAGTATAATCTGGGCGCCCGTTCAGCCAGGGTTTACGTTCTAATCAAACTTTTACGCCCGTCTAATTCGTTTTAAAACAACTTTACGAGTTTCTCCATCCGTTAGTTCTTTACTTACTCAGCTTGGTCCAATTAAAATATTTACAAAGTTTGAATCAAAAAGTAATATTTGTCTCGTAACCTAGTAGATAAAGATTTATTTGTTTACTAATGTTTGTACAAATTAGCAGATTGTTGTCATACAAAATAAATAAATAATGACTGTGTATATGTACATTGATAACGATTAGGTGCATGCTTTTCGATAATTAGATTTAATATACAGGGTTTTGTAAAATGCGTGTACAAAAAAATATAAATGTTGATTTACACAGAAAAATTTAGAAATTCTAACGGGAATTTCAATAAATACAACTGTCACTTTTTGTACCTTTTACATTTTTTAATATCTACTTTGTGATAATATTTTGCAATTATAGTAATAAAAAAATTAAAGGATACAATATTTTCTTAAGATAGGTAATCATATTTTATAAGTTATTTTAATATTTTAAAGTATCAATAATTAAAATAGTAACGGGCAATGTTAATGGTGAAAATTACGGCAAAAATGTTTATTTATTTTCGTATAAATGTCGCTTTATCCAAATATTTAATTTAAATCACTTTTTAGATAATATTATATTATCACTTTTTAGATAATATTATATTATAATAACACCCTATTTTTTATTGCAGATTCGGATCATTCGACTAAAAATAGGTAGATTTTGCCTAAAACATTTTTTCATATTTTTAATAGATGGCGCTGTAATAAAAAAAATCAATTTTGTTCGATTTTTCTTCTGTATACGATTCTCCAATAATTTTTGAATAAAATACTTGGTTTTATTTTTTAAATTTTAATGTAAGTAGGTGCTCAAAATGGTGGCCTTCGACTTCAATGCATTTATTAATTCGCATTTCGTTTTAATATTCTCCCAACCAGGCCCGTTCCTGACGAGCGTGCAGTGCGTGCACGCACGCAGGCGCAACATTTCGGGGGCGCAAAATCAAAGAGTCAATCAGTACTTTGCAACGATAAACTTTCTTGCATATGATACTAAAAAATACATTGGATAAAGGATTCTGCCTTTTTTGCGTCGGCAGGTTTTTTTTCGGTCGCTATAAAGCGCCTTTTGCCGCTTTGATATTGGCTGCTTATTTTGTTTTGATATGAGGATCAAAATAAAAAGGAGAGAAATGGTCATATTATCTTTGGTATTTGTTTGATAGTTGCAGTTGACGGTAGCAAAGTAGTAGTATCAACAGTAGTATCTCTAAAATAGAATTAGTCAAAAATGACTAATTCAATTAGTCTAATTGCAATAGCGAAAAAGCAGCGACTAATAATTATTGTCAATAGTTATTTGTATCCCGGATATTTAGCAGTCAACTCCTATGTAAAATTGTCCGCTGAATCCGAAAATGTCGCCAAAAGTTATAAAAGTAGAACGTTTTTGAGATTTAGTAAATTTTCCATATAATATGGTATTGACTATATCTTAAAAACTACTTTACTTTTATAATTTTTGACGGTATTTTCGGATTCAGGGGACAATTTTACTTAATAATAAGCTGTTAAATGCCCGGTATACAAATAGCTGTGGACTAAAGTTATTAGTTACTTCTTTTTTACTTTGAAAACTAGTCATTTTTAGAGAGTACGTCAATAAAAACCAGTTGTAGTTATTATATTGTTTTGATTGTTTTTTTTATTACTGATTATTTCCCTCATTATAATATGAACCAATCAAAAGCCTTGAATTTTCGAATAAATTTCGTTTAAATAAGCGTTAAATCACTAGAACTATTTAACAGCGATTAAATTTTAGCCTACATATTGGATTTTTGTTTACGATTTTATGGTGTTATTTACAAGTTTTAAAAAACATTTTTTAAAAAACAATAAAAAATAAGTTATCTAGTTTACGAAATATCAATTATTACTTATTACATACCTTAAATTAATGGAATTTTCTTTAAAAAAATATTTATAAATTTTGACACATACGTCAGATTTTATGAATTGTCAAATAGTTTCCTTTAATTCGAGAAATAATCTAGACGTATATCACTCAACCTATAAATTTAATCTGTCAAACTATGCTCAGTAAGTTTTTTATTTGATTTTTCTTTTTGTAAAATAGTTTCATGCAAAATAATTAAAAATACAACCCCTCGACCGCTACGCGGTCTCGTGATTTTCTTAAATTATTTTGCATTCAACATTTTCCAACAAAAACCAAACAAAAAACTACTGAGCCTAGTTTAACAGATTAAATTCATAGTTCTCGTGATATAATATATGGCTATTTTCCTCGTCTTAATTTCCACCAATCACAAACGCGCAATTTTAAACTACAAATGGTTTCTAGGTGGAAAAACAGCACCTGTCAGCAGTTTTTTTGAGTTTACTTGACAGCTGTTGTCACCAAAAATTGCAATTCATATTTTAATTGTTAACTGTTACTCATGAAATAGTCTTGTCAAATACCATTTGGGCATCTAACTTTTCCTATGAAAAAAATCGTTAAAACACAATGCTAAGTAATATTTTTTAACAAAATGCATTCGTGCAGGTGCAAAAATCCTCGTCTTTGACTCGGATTTTTGTTGCCACCAGCACTCATGCTTCTTGTTAAAATATTACTTAGCAACGTGTTTTTTCGATTTTTTTCGAAAAAATTGATGCCCTTATGATATTACTTGTTTGTTTGGTAATTTAATAAATATTTTTTAAACTTAATTTAAGCGGTTTTTTTACATTTTCAATTACATATTGCCAGTTTGTCGCAAAATATATTTTTTTAAATTTTACGGCTTAAAATTCAAATATTTAATGTATTATATTTAAATATAAAAGGGGCGCACCAACGAATGCTGCACGCAGGCGCCAGACACCCCAGGAACGGGCCTGCTCCCAACACTGCTCTGGGATATTCCCAAATCTCTAGATAATTCTCGTGTGCTTGCATGAGGATTAGCGGCCGTTGCTGCTAATACATTAATTTCATTATTTCCACCTGTGACTGTTGCTCGACGAACTCTTTTCTTCGTTAAACACTCCCGTTTGTAGTAAACTGCTTGACTGTACGGCGAAATGAAGTACGTGATCGAATTTTATCCGGAAAACGCTGAGCGTAGATATTAACAGCATCATCAAGATTCCCGCCTGCTTCTCCATAAATCAAAATAATTTCTATTTTTTCTTCCACTGTTAAAAAATCCATTATGAATAACTGCTTGACGAAAGGAGGTCTTTTTGTTGGCAAATTAACCTTCGAACTACATTGGTTAAGTAATGCTAAACTATGTATAAATAGTATATTTATACCTAAATTATAATTATTATTTGTAAGTAAATACCATTTTTTATACCTCAATTAGGATTAAATTAATTAATTGACAAAATAATATTTTTTTACCTTAAATGAGGTATTTTTATAAAAAATAGTACTATAATCCTTTAAATTAAAGGATTTAATGGTGGCAGGTAAAAAGTAACCATGGTGCGCAATTGATAATTATCACCGAATGAAATAATGTATAAAACTTCAACCAAAGGAAACTTAAATATTAGTTAAAAATCGTGGCTACTTAAAAAAATCAGATTTAATTTAATAAGATAATTATTACCAAAAAAAGTTATATTTTTATAGAAAAATTATTGCAGAATCGTATACAGAAGGAAAAAATTTATTCGCAAATATATGAAGTCATTATTTAACCATTATTTTTAAAACGACTCAATTTTTAAATAAAATAAACTTAGTTGAAGGGCGACCCTTTTTATTCTGAGATAATTGTTTTCACAGTAGGCACTGAAATCGTCCGTGGCAGATTTCGAGTGCCGAATTTTGCGAGGGCTGCCTTGCTAATCGGCCTGCTGGGAATACGCCCCGAATAAAATCCCAAAATCCCCGTCCCTGCTAAGATAAAAAACAAACCATTTGTCATCCGGCCTAATTGATAAAAATTATTATAAACCGGGTGCGAATCCGTCCTCATCTGGCTCTTCGTTTTTTATTCATAAACAATTTATTTTTTACGAGGAAATGATTTTTTAATGATGATGGAACTTTTTCAGGAAAATAAAAACACACATTCTACTTCTTTTTACCCTTATACGTACTAAATCGCTTTTCGCTTTTAACAGTGGCAGTGACAGTTCCATATGCAGTTTAATTAAAATCTATAAATGAGTTGTAAAAACGAACCACAAAGAAGAAAATTATTTAAGTCTAAAAAAAAGAGCCGAAAACACAACGAAGATACCAAAGGGTAAAACAAAAAATAGAAAAAAAAGAAATATTACAAAAATACTTTTTATTTGCTTAGGTAAGTAAACATATGGTACTGTATATTATAATAGTGTGTCTATAGACATAGAGATAGAGTTTTCGGGCAGTAAACAGTATTTTTTTTTTGAAACGCAAAAACATGTTAACTTCAGTTTCTAGGGAGACAATGGAACATAAGCTTTGTCACTTACTTAAATCACCAATTAGTTTTAAAAATATGACGAATAATTTGAAAAAAGTTTACAAAAGTGTATTATAAATTTGCTCATACAAGAATGAATTAGTCAACCACTTTCTTTTAATTTAAACACTGCTGTATCATTGGATTTCATTTTGTTGTTAGTTCTTGAAGTATTGGCTGACATATTGAGTTTATACTGTTTTTGTTTTATATTTATCACGTAATGAAAACAAACGACAAATCCCTGTAACGATGTTGTCAATGTAAATATGTAATTAAGGTAGATGTTTCCTGTGAATGCAAAAATCAAACCAAACAACCAGGAGAGACCGAATAAAGAAAACAGGTAGTAAGACAGTTTAATAACACTGTATACCAACGATTTTTTGTTAAAATTATTTGAAGTCTGCACAGAATGCATTATGGAGTAGATTATATAAATAAATATGGAAATATTAAAAGTTAATATAACCAAAATAGGGGCCACAACAAACATTTTAATATTAAACCCTGATAAGTAACACAAGTTGGATTCGTTCTTGTGGTACGAATTCACGGAAATGCTTGCTAATAAAACCACCGGAAGAAGTGGTACCAACCAACCAACCAAGCAACTTTTTCGCAAAATGTTTTGCTTGTAATTCACAAATACTTGCACGTACCGTCTGTATTGAAAATATGATAACACTACAGTCCAAGAGGACTGAGTTAATAGGCAGTAATGAAGAAACATACCTGCAACTTTACAGGAGGTGCCTTCATCGATAACATTGGAAACAAATAAAGCCAGCGGCAATAGGATGATACTCGAGACAAAATTTAAAATTATAACGATATTTTTCTTATCCCTTACGTTCTTAAAAATAAGAGACGAAGCTATAACTGATAACGCCCCAGTTATAGATAAAGAAATTCCCACTATGGTGATGAAGTTCAGCACGAAACTATCTTTCGCTTCATCACTAAGAAGCATTCCGAAATTAGTCATGTGATTATATTCACAAGTCAAATATTCACCATCCTGCAATGATGTAGTGTTATCATTCTTCCAAAACCCTTGTATGTTTAATTCTTCTTCATCTCGACCATAGTACCAATGGGAACAAGAAAGCGTTTTAAACTTATTATCAGTCCGTTTTAAAAGAATTCGGATGGGCGAAATTAGTTTTTCATCGAACCCAGGAACTGAGACACTTACAACCCATGGTAAACTACTGGCATTATCATCATTGAATAAACTATTATCTTTGAAAAATGAAAAAATTGCTGTATGAGAATTATTGAACTGTGAAATTCCTGTAAAATAAGCAACCACTATAGGACCCTCCCCCAAAATTTCCCCCTGATTATTCTGCTCCGAAATGGGCTTTAAAGTGTTGTTTTTAAATACCATCCAACCAACGTGTGTCGAGCTAATTCGGTTCTTCCTCACGAAATAAACTTCACTGTTGATTTCCACATCAACATCTTGTTTCAGATTAAATGTTTCCAATGAATCCAATACAATATCAGTTGAATTCATTTCGGATTGTGATTCTTTTAAAACCGATCTGTCACTTCTCATCATATTATCAACCACGTTGTAAAAACTGTCGTTACCAGTAGTTGAAGTTAAAGACCTGGCAAAATTTAAAACAAGCATTGCTGAATACTGCATCTGCATCAACGTTACAGTTTTATGAAAGTTGGCCGACATATTACTTAAAACTTCAATAGTTTCTTCCATATTATTTGATACGAATAAGTCATGAAGTTGGTTGGTGACTTTATCGCAAACCGTATAGGTACCTGTTGGTGTTGACCATGAAGCACCAAATGTGAAATTTCCTTCACAACTTCTTTTTATAGGAGTCTCTGAACAGTTCTTTGAAATGGCAATTTTTCCTATTGCCGTTGTTGGCCAAACCAAACCATCTAAAAAATAGCATGTTTAATATTGATATGTCAAATATTGTTGACAGCATTTACCTTTTGTTTCTTCCAAGCAAGTATACGTTTTTCTAATGCTCTTACATTTGAAGTAGGAGGTATTAAAAGTGCTGCATTTATTTATCCATTCTATTTCATTTTCTGAATTGGTAAAGGGTTGGAAAAAGTTAAGATGAAAAAGAATAGAGCAATATGTATCATTTATGTCTATAATTTTAAATGGGTTCAATGTACAACCTGCCTTCTCGCATATTATTTTCAATTGGTTTACATCAGGTTTAAAAGGATCATCTAAATTATATATATGCATTTCAACCACGTAATCCAGCGCTGTATCATAATATTTGTTAAAAATTATATTACTTTTGACGTAAGATTTAAAATTTACATCGAATGCTTCACACCAAAAATAATAAAAAGGGTTAAGAGTAACAGCAAAATTATCATAAGCTTGAAATTCCAGTCTGTCTGAAAACGCATAGGTTTTAGTTCCGCTGTAACAATAAATTTTGTTGTTGAAAGCATTCGCTGTGTTTTCTACAGTCACTTGTATTTCGGTTTCGAAAAGTTCAAGAAAAATCTGCAATCGTTGGGGGGAAAAACTGATCTTCATCTGACAAATTCCACAATTCAATCCATACAAATCGTTTTCATCTTTAAAATACCACTTCAAGTCTTTTGTATATCCATACGAAGATTTTGGTATAACTTTTGTCTTATCGATGAAACTTAAAAAATCTTCATTGATCGGCAATTTCGACGATTGCCATACGATGCTTGCATCTTCGTTAGTTATCACTCCAATCCAACATTCTCTGGTATTGTTTGTCGCATTAAGTACCATATATTTTTCTGAAAATTCGGCAAACTTGTTGTCACAAAAGTCGGTTCTATGATAACCCTCGGGGTTTTTTGTAGACGTAGAGGTCATTTCAGTAGTTGTAGATGGCTCGGTAGTAGTCGAAGAAGTTGACGTTGATGTTTCAGTAGTATTAGTTTCCATATTAAGGATAGATAATTTATTGGTCGACACATCAACTAAACCCAAACTTCTTTTAATATAGGTCAAAGGTTTATTTAACGCTGTACCATCAACAGAATTGTTTAATTGAGGATTGTATTGCTGGTAGTAGCAAACTTCTGGTTTAGTAAAATAACTAAAACTGAAATTGACCTTGCAATCACTTCTTATTTCATATAAGCAAATCATGTTTAATTTTAAATTGCAATCCACGGGATGAATCAATCCATTTTCTACGTTAAAGTACAAACAATTTCCTTTTGATTTTATTTGTGATAAAGTTGTATTAAAAATTTCACCGTATTGTTCCTGAGTCCTCAGCACAAAAGGTTCAGTTAAAGAATCTCTACTTACTGGTAAATATGTACTTTGTTTTATTTCTTGATAAATGCGATGTATATAAATATTGTTCAAGTATGGACATGATTGTTTTTTGAACGTTGAACTTATAATAATGTAACAATATTCTTCTGGATGATATTTATACCCTTGAGGGCACAATTCATCTGAATCAATAGCTACAGTTTAAAATTGAACAAATTAGGTATATAATATGCTTATAACTTTTGACTTACAATAAAATAATGGTTCCACAGTTTTGGTAATCAACAATATTTGAAATAAAACAACACTCGCCGCGTGCGACATATTATCACAAATAATTTATTTTAACGAAATCATTTTTGTTGTATTGATATATCATATAGTATACTATTTTCGCCTGATAAGATAGATAAATAGTGCGATCAAATTAACTGATAATTTGGTAATTATAATTTTAGACAAGCAATTAGTTTTCCAAGTAACCTCACGGGCAAAAGTCAGATTTAAGTTCAAATTGGAAAAAAGTGAGGTTAAATTTGCTTGACAGCTGTCAGATTTCACAATTGGCTTTACATTCCTTATGGTAGTTGAATAAAATATTGTGTGCGACAATTGGTCAAAAGTGAAGATTCCACTCCACTAAAAGCTCTAGAAATCTCCTCTTTCTCCACTAGTCGCACAATATACTATATACAAATACAAATAGGTAGTGGTAAAAAAATTTATTCAATTATATATGAAGTCATTATTTTTAAAACGACTCAATTTTTAAATATTTAGAATTTCATTAAATGCAGTAAATATATTTTTAAATTCTTAAACCAATCATTGTTATTGTAATGTTATAAAGATTTATAAATTTTTAGCGCCCAAACATAATATTATTTCTTTCGTTGACTATACTTTGACAGATACTTAACCTGAAAAGCCTTAAATGACAAATTTTCAAAAGACTGCGTTCCGTACGTAGTCACGTGGTGGGACTTTGAGGTGTGGAGCATAGTACCAAAGGGTAAAACATAAAAAAAAAATAAAAGAAGTATTACAAAAAAACACTTTATTTGCTTAGGTAAACATGGTACTGTATGTTAGGGTTTCTTACATAGATATAGAGTTTTCGAGTAGTATACTGTTTATAAACAGATATTTTTTTAAAACGCAAAACATGTCAAATTCAGTTGACAAGGGAACTTACTTCACTAATAAGTTTAAAAAATATGACGAATAATTTGAAAAAGTTTTTTTTTAAATCTGCTTATACAAGAATGAATTATTCAACCACTTTCTTTTAAGTTAGAAACTGCTGTATCATCAGATTTCATTTTGTTGTTAGTTGTAAGTATTGGCTGACATTTCGAGTTTATGGTTTTTGTTTTATATTCATCACGTAATGAAAACAAACGACAAATCCCTGTAAGGATGTTGTCAATGTAAATATGTAATTAAGGTAGAGGTTTCCAGTAAATGCAAAAATCAAACCAAACAACCAAGAGAGACCGAATAAAAAAAACAGGTAGTAAGAAAGTTTAATAACATTGTATACCAACGATTTTTTATTAAAATTATTTAAAGTCTGCACAGAATGCATTATGGAGTAGATTATATAAATAAATATGGAAATGTTAAAAGTTAATATAACCAAAATAGGGGCCACAACAAACATCTTAATATTAAACCCTGATAAGTAACATAAATTGGATTCGTTCTTGTGGTACGAATTCACGGAAATGCTTGCTAATAAAACCACTGGAAGAAGTGGTACCAACCAACCAACCAAGCAACTTTTTCGCAAAATGTTTTGCTTGTAATTCACAAATACTTGCACGTAACGTCTGTATTGAAAATATGATAACACTACAGTCCAAGAGGACTGAGATAATAGGCAGTAATGAAGAAACATACCTGCAACTTTACAGGAGGTGCCTTCATCGATTACATTGGACACAAATAAAGCCAGCGGTAATAAAATGATACTCGAAAGAAAATTTAAAATTATAATGAAATTTTTTTTATCCTTTACTTTCTTAAAAATAAGAGTCGAAGCTATAACTGATAAAGCCCCAGTTATAGATAAAGAAATTCCCACGATGGTGATGAAGTTCAGTACAAAACTATCTTTCGCTTCATCACTAAGAAGCATTCCGAAATTTGTCATGTGATTATATTCACAAACCAAATATTCACCATCCTGCAATGATGTAGTGTTATCATTCTTCCAAAACCCTTGTATGTTTACTTCTTCTTCATCCCGACCATAGAACCAATGGGAACAAGAAAGCGTTTTAAACGCATTATTAGTCCGTTTTAAAAGAATTCGGATGGGCAAAATTAGTTTCTGATCAAACCCAGGAACTGAGACACTTACAACCCATGGTAAACTACTGGCATTATCATCATTGAATAAACTATTATCTTTGAAAAATGAAAAAATTGCTGCATGAGAATTGTTGAACTGTGAAATTCCTGTAAAATAAGCAACCACTATAGGACCCTCCCCCAAAATTTCACCCTGATTATACTTCTCCGAAATGGGCTTTATGGTGTTATTTTTGAATACCATCCAACCAACGTGTGTCGAGCTAATTCGATTTTTCCTCACAAAATAACCTTCACTGTTGATTTTCACATCAACATCTTGTTTCAGATTGAATGTTTCCAGTGAATCCAATACAATATCAGTCGAGTTCATTTCGGATTGTGATTCTTTTAAAACCGACCTGTCACTTCTCATCATATTATCAACCACGTTGTAAAAACGGTCGTTACCGGTAGTTGAAGTTAAAGACCTGGCACAATTTAAAACAAGCATTGCTGAATACTGCATCTGCATCAACGTTACAGTTTTATGAAAGTTGGCCGACATATTACTTAAAACTTCAATAGTTTCTTCCGTACAATTTGATACGAATAAGTCATGGAGTTGGGTGGTGACTTTATCGCAAACCGTATAGGTACCTGTTGGTGTTGACCATGAAGCACCATATGTGAAATTTCCTTCACAACTTCTTTTTATAGGAGTCTCTGAACAGTTCTTTGAAATGGCAATTTTTCCTATTGGCGTTGTTGGCCAAACCAAACCATCTAAAAAATAGCATGTTAAATATTGATATGTCAAATATTGTTGACAGCATTTACTTTTTGTTTCTTCCAAGCAAGTATACGTTTTTCTAATGCTCTTACATTTGATGTAGGAGGTATGAAAAGTGCTGCATTTATTTATCCATTCTATTTCATTTTCTGAATTGGTAAAGGGTTGAAAAAACTTGAAATGAAAAATAGTCGAGCAATATGTATCATTAATGTCTATAATCTGAAATGGTTTCATTGTACAATCTAACCCATCGCATATTATTTTTAATTGGTTTACATCAGCATCTAAATTATATATATGCATTTCAACCACGTAATCCAGCGCTGTATCATAATATTTGTTAAAAATTATATTACTTTTGACGTAAGATTTAAAATTTGCATCAAATGCTTCACACCAAAAAATAATAAAAAGAGTTAAAAGTAACAGCAAAATTATCATAAGCTTGAAATTCCAGTCTGTCTGAAAACGCATAGGTTTTAGTTCCGCTGTAACAATAAATTTTGTTGTTGAAAGCATTCGCTGTGTTTTTTACAGTCACTTGTATTTTGGTTTCGAAAAGTTCAAAAAAAATCTGCAATCGTTTGGGGGAAAAACTGATCTTCATCTGACAAATTCCACAATTTAATCCATACAAATCGTTTTCATCTTTAAAATACCACTTCAAGTCTTTTGTATATCCATACGAAGATTTTGGTATAACTTTTGTCTTATTGATGAAACCTAAAAAATCTTCATTGATCGGCAGTTTCGACGATTGCCATACGATGCTTGCATCTGCGTTAGTTATCACCCCAATCCAACATTCTCTGGTATTGTTTGTCGCATTAAGTAGCATATATTTTTCTGAAAATTCGGCAAGCTTGATATCGCAAAATTGGGTTCTATGATAACCAATGGGAAGTTTTGTAGGCGTATAGGTCATTTTAGTAGTTGTAACTGAGTAGCAAATTTCTGGTTTAGTAAAATAACTAAAACTGGAATTGACCTTGCAATCACTTCTTATTTCATATAAGCAAATCATGTTTAATTTGGAATTGCAATCTACGGGATGAATCAATCCATTATCTACGTTAAAGTACAAACAATTTCCTTTTGATTTTATTTGTGAAAAAGTTTTATTAAAAATTTTACCGTATTGTGCCTGTGTTCTCAGCACAAAAGGTTCAGTTAAAGAATCTCTACTTACTGGTAAATATGTACTTTGTTTTATTTCTTGATAAATGAGTTGTACATAAATATTGTTCAAGTATGGACATGATTGTTTTTTGAACGTTGAACTTATAATAATGTAACAATATCCTCCTGGATGGTATTTAAATCCTTGAGGGCACAATTCATCTAAATCGGTAGCTACAATTTAACTTTTAACACATTAGGTACATAATATGCTTATAAAGGCAGTAGCGACAGTACCCCGAACGCCCGCCACCGCGGGGGGCCCTAGGTTAGGGCCCCTAACCTCGTAGGGGCCCGGCCGATACTTTCCCCAAAACATTAAAAAACGTATTTCCATCGTATTATCTTCAAAAATTATGGCAACACTCCCAAGTAGTACAACTAGTTAAATAACTAGCATTCTAAGTAAATTAACCAAAATTTAAGTAAAATAACGTTTTTTTAAACTTGTTTTTTAACCAATTAGTTGTATTTAACCATTAACATTTTTTTAAGGTTAATATGAACTAAAAAATAACCTTTTAAATTTACCAACCGGTTGCTATAACCTTAAGGTAAATTTAAAGGTTATTTTTTAGTATAATTCACCTAATAAAAGAAACCTATTGGTAATGTTACTAGTTAAAACTAGTTAATTATTTGATTTATTTATAGTCAATTGAAACTCTTGAAATAACCTAAATTTATCTTTAAGTAAATTAAAGTTTTTTCAAGAGTTTAAATTGACTATAAATAAACCAAATATTTAACTAGTTGGTAATATTACTTATAAGATAAAAGGTAGGTTATTTTAGAAGTTAGATATTGTTATATTAACTGCCTATTTTAACCATTGAATATAGTTAAGAGTAGTTATTTTTTTAGACATATTTTGGTTAAGTTTAACTTTTGATATAATTTTTTGGTAAATTAACCACAGCATTGGTTAATTTGGATATATTTTTTTAACCAACAAGTTATATTTTACCAAATATATATTAACTTGCTGGTAAAATTAACGTTAATTAATAAACTTAAAAAAGTGATGGTTTTGCAGTTGTCATTGTTACCTGCATAGAAAAATTAGTCTTTATACAGCTTTATATATAAACCTATAGGTTGTGAGTTTTGTGTGATAATGGAACCTAAAAGAAATAATTTAAAAAAATATGGACTTTCTTTATTATTTATCTGCAAATCTTAAAACAATCCCCTCACATTTAATTAATTTGGTAAGCATCTATTGGTTTTATCAAAGAACAGATGCGTTTTAATAAAGCAGTGCTGCAACTAAAATCAGAACGTAAGATCGGCGTGAATTTTTTTAGGTTAGTTATTTTAAAAATAACAAGTTATTTAAATTTAACTAATTTTGGTAATTAATAACTATAATGTGTTAAATTAACCAAATTTAAACCTAAACCAAAGAGTTATAAATTACCGATAGGTAAATAAAGTAGTTAAAATAAACACAATAAAATAACCAAATGTTTTAAATAAACTTGCAGGTTAATTTATATTGGTTATATAACCAATAAGTAAAAGCATACTAAAATCGCCATATGTTTACTGTCCATTTTAACAAAAGCAAATGCCAATAATTTTAATAATTTGTTTTATTCCAACAATAAGGTAATTTAAACAAACCAATAACAAAACATAATATTATTTTATGTTTAAAAGTATTTTAAATTAATTTCAAACAAAATAAAGAAAAATTGGGCAAAAAATATTTTTTTTTAAATTTTTATTTTCTTTATTTCTTATTTTTTTCAAAGCGCATTTAAAATATGAAAGTATCCTGTACTACTTCATCAAAAAAAAAAAAATGCCCAATTGGTTTTTCCCTTTGAACTTTCTCTTTAAGACATCAATTAATATATACATAATCATTATGAGTATTAATATTTAGGGGCGACATTTTATTTTAAGGATCTGTTAGTCATATCTATAGATATACATAACCATATTTAATAATTATATAGTTACCCAGGAAACACAAGGTAATCTAATAGATGTCTAAATCTGGTATAAGTAATCTAAATAACATCTAGATATACAAATGGATCTGATTTCGATCGTATTTTATGAAATAGTTTTTAGATGATTTTGAAAAGACATCTAAAATATGTATAATACAGTTTAAACTTAACTAGAAGCTCTTGTTCGACGTGTATTAGACATTGAGAACGATAGGTCTCTTAAATGTTAAGGATTTTCACTAGTTTTATACATGTATTACCAAAGCATTTATAGATGCCACCTAATGATACATCTAAAAGATATAAAACTTTTAAAGGCTAATATAATGGTCTTTGGTTAATTATTATTTTTGACATCTGCAGATGTAGCATACGTTAGAAAAACAATGTAGAGACGACAAGAAGATATAGTAAAAAATAAGGCAGTTGCTTATTTTAAACTTCGTTTTATATTTGTTGTCATTTAGGTAGAATATGTGCCGGTCAAACGATACAAAAAAAAGATGACAACTATATTTATCTGTCTTGGTACTGATATTTCTTTTAAAACAAAATAGCAACAAAAGAAAAACAAAGAAATTTACTAGGGCATTACGGGTTAAAGTTTATTTTTTTCTTTTTACAGCATTTAATAAAAGATTGTCTTTAAAAATGTTTTTTTACCATTTATTTTTTATTTTTTGCTGGACATGTTTCATTTAATGCGCATAAATACAATCTTCTAGAGAGTACTGCGCATGGATACGATCATACGGAAACTATTGCGCATAAGTACAATCATCCTAGAACAACTGCGCATAAATACAACCATCTGGTACCTACTGCGCATATAAAAAATAATCCAGGAACTACTGCGCATAGATACAACCATCTGGGAGAAAATGGTTCAAAATTCAGTTTAAAGATTTGACATTTAACATACAAACAAACAAATATTGCAAGTAAAATAAAAGCTTGTACAAAAATCAAACGGTAAAATATTTTCTTAACAAACTCATCTCGATACTCATATTTTGAAGTTATTTTAATATTTTAAAGAAAAATAAATGTTAAATTTAATAAAATGAATAACGGGTAATATTAAATTAAAAATCAATCGCTGGGAACGATCGAGTTCCCCACTAAACATTTTTAACCCATTTGTCACCATTAACATTGCTCGTAATTCATTTTAATAAAGATAACATTTATTTTGACTTTACTACAATTGCAAAATTTTATTAAAAAGGATTAAAAATATTAAAAATTCTTAAAGGAACAAAAAGTTAAGGTTTTGTTTACTTTGGCGCTACTTTGCCTGCGCGCGCACGGTCGATCTCATTCCTTTGTTCACTGGGGCTTCGCGTGCTTACTTTTGAGTTCGCTGCAATGTAAATGTCAGTTTTAGTTGGTGAATTTGATACATTTTTATATTTGGTGGTAATAAATTTTGTCTTTTTGTGCTGTGCATATGTCCACAAAATTTTAGGTAAGTTTACATTTATAATTATTAACATTTTATTGAATTTGGATGACGGATCTATAATTGATCTATAATAGATGGAGCAGATATTTACCTTTTGTCAATAAATAAACTATAATAACGTATGATTCATACGGTTTTCTAATCAAAATCTATCTCCCTAGGTTTTGCGTTAGAAATAAAGATATTTTTTTCAATGTATTGAAAATTCACCTATTTAATTAAGTTAGTATTAGTACCTATATTGCTCTATAACTGATCCATAATAGATCCGTAATAGATGATTGTTTTATTAATGTCCGCACAATTTTCCAATAATAATTTGATTACATAAATTAGAAAAAGAATTTTGTTTTTAACGCTTATTTAATGAACTGATACCAAAATT